CCCTGGAGCGCGCATGTCTCAGGTCCTCTATTTTCCCTTTATTGTCCTCATACCCCTTTTCATCGAGCCCGCATGGCTGGTAGCATTGTGGTTTCGACCATACCAATGGAAACTATTTCAATTGAGACTGTCTCTTGTAGTTCTGTACAATAATCGCAAACTTGAAATTTTCGTTATACCAGGATACAGATAATGAAACGTAATTAAGAGCAATTCTAGACGAAATGTCCAATTAACTGTTGAGTCATGACAGGGGCCAAATGAACAAACAGTACGGCATGCATACCTAGTGAAGAGAGCGACGATCAGTTGCGACGTGACACAGGCAGGTGCACATAAGCTCGACAGTACCCAACTAATATAGCCACTGATATCATTGCGGCTTCGTCTGCAGTATACGGGCATATGCATGTCTGCACACCCCGGTCAGAGATATGGTGCCTATTCATCCTTCGAAAAAAAATGTGGCTTAATACAGGTTGAAGATTAAATATATCTTTCGAATTATCCGTCCTATCAGACACGGCTGTTCGTACCTTGTAGACCTTGATGTACATAACGCAAATGCACACGGAATACGGAGAACTCTCATCTTTCTTGGGTGCTGATTGGTATGGATCTTTGATTCAGATCGCTGTGATGAGGCGCCCAAGTGTCGATTATTTGAAGCAAATAATTGAATGAGCTCGTGTCCACCGATGGGGATCCTCGATGTGCTCACCAGTGGCCATGCTGCCAACAGGTAGAGGATGAAGGCATTGTGGATAAGAATGTGTTCATACAGAGACAGGTAGGATGTCCTCGGGAGCTTAACACGGCTGCTTCTTTCATCTGCAGGGTCTATTTTTCTTGGACATGACAGCTTGCTATCTACTCTGCGGCATCTATAGGCGGGCGATGGACAAAGACTCATACACATAGCCATCCATGCTTCAAGTACGATTCGCAAAGTATTACTCGAACAGCGTACGAGAGATTATCTTCGAAATCACATCTAGTGAGAATCAAAACGCCACATGGCACATATACGGGGAGTGATCGATAGGAAAGGTGAAAAGCCAGGTTAGGGATCAGCAAGGATGCCCTTGTTGAAGTCCTGATGAGGAACTGATTTGAAGAACTTCTGTGTGTATGTGTGTTGGGCTGGGAGAGTGCGCGCAAGGGGACTCTTTGGGTAGTTAAGAGGCAAAGTAGACAAAATAACAAGGAGAATGAAAAAAACGAAAAGAGGAGACAGGATGGATATCCCCCAGGCAGAGAACACAAGCGCCGGGCCAAAGCAAGCAAGCAAACTGCAAGTAGGCAAGTAGAGAGAAGATTCAAAGCAAAAATGGCCGAGAGAGCATCGTCACCTAAAGGTCAGAATATTTCTCACACCAACCCTTGCGAGTCTCTGCGATACTATAAACCGACAGCCGGGCCAATAAATCTCTTCGTCCTTCCTCTTTCGTCTCCAATCTATGTTCTTGTACTAGAAGACCCGTCGCGCGCTCTCTTTCTCTCGGTTTTTCCATCCGTCCAGAGGACGCGTGTCCATCAACAAGGTCTTTTTAGGTGTTAATCATTTACTCGGCGGCGGGCTTCTCGGCCTCAGCGGCCGGGGCCTCCTCCTTCTTATCAGCAGGGGCAGCGCTCTCGGAGGTGGGCTCAGCCTCGGACGAGGTCCAGAGGGTCTGGTGGGAAATGCGGGTCAGTGTATGAACGAATTGAATCAATAGGTGATTTCGACGCTTACCAGGTTGTCACGGAGGAGCTGCATGATGAGAGTGGAGTCCTTGTAGCTCTCCTCGCTCAGGGTGTCGAGCTCTGTAGAGAAATATTAGTTTTGGCCAATGTATCTGGCAATAGCTGTATTCCAACATACCAGCAATGGCGTCATCAAAGGCAAGCTTGGCGAGGTGGCAAGCCTGGTCGGGGGAGTTCAGAATCTCGTAGTAGAAGACTGAGAAGTTGAGGGCAAGGCCGAGACGAATGGGGTGGGTAGGGGCGAGGTCAGTGGAGGCGATCTCGGTGGCAGCCTTGTAGGCCTCCAGAGAGTGGTTGGCAGCACCCTTGCGGCGGTCGCCAATGGCGAACTCGGCAAGATAGCGGTGGTAGTCACCCTTCATCTTGTGGTAGAAAACCTTGGACTCGCCACTCTGGGCGGACTTGATGAGGTGCTCGTCCAGAACCTCCAGGATATCGTCGCAGATCTTAGCAAGCTCGGCCTCGATCTTTTGGCGGTACTCCTTGATGAGGGTGACCTGGGACTCGTTGCCCTTGGACTCCTCCTTCTGCTCAATAGAGGTGACGATTCTCCACGAGGCACGGCGGGCACCAATGACGTTCTTATAGGCGACAGACAGGAGATTGCGCTCCTCAACGGTGAGCTCAACGTCGGCCGAGGCGACGACCTTCATGTTCTCGACCATCTCTGCACCGCATTGTCAGTGATTTGTACAACTAGACAATCTAGACCCGAAAGAAACTAACCTTCATAGCGCTCGGCCTGCTCAGCGAGCTTGGCGAGGTAAACAGCGTCTTCGTGACCCATGGTGAATGTGTGTTTTCTAAAATGTGAACTATGTTAGCCTTTTTTTTTCTTCTCTCATATGCATTTTCCTTCTTGGGTTGATGGTTTTGGAAATGAAGACTGGAAATCACGCCATCAGGACAATGCAAGTAGTGAATGGCGAGGGGTAGACATCGACCCTCGACCCCCTCTGCAAATATACGGGAAGGGCCCAGTTGCGTTTCCAGCATCATGTAGAGCGCCTCTGGATCGAGATATTGAGACGATAAACCAAATACCCAGATATTTGGTCGATCATGACGATCGTGGCGGTTACAGAACCCTTGGGTCTTCCCGTATGTCGTTGGGGGTTATCGCAGGAAAGCGGTCGCGGCAACGGCTCAACAGATAAACAAGGAGACGAGGACAAGTGGTTTCCGTGATTTGTGATGCGATCCCATTGGAATTTGAATTTGGGGGAATTGTAGTTTTCAGAGAGTTTCCACATGTTGATGTGTGCATTTTGCGGTGATGACGGGGCATAGAAAGAGGGCTAGAGGGCAAATTCAAGGGGACATTCAAAAACTGACCTGATTTGTGAAAGGGGAAAAGAAGGTAATAAGAGATAGCAAGATGGAAGATGGAAGTGAGGGAGTAGGGAGTTGAGAGAGAGGAGGTAGGAGGAAAGGAGGGGGGCAGAAGGCGGTGTTGTTGGGATTTACCTGAACAACCCACTCTGCTTCGGGCTTTTGTGTTAGGAAATATTACAAAAAAAAGGGTACTTGAGGTCACTTGAACTTCGTCGTCTTTTTTTTAATTAACTAATTCTATATCAAACATCCAACATATCCAAGATTATATTACTTTTTTGGCCATATATATACACAAATCTTCTCTCATCGCTTCTGTGTGGTTCGGTGGGCCTCCTACAGCGTCATCCCCCATTCCACATCCGCCAATCGCCCGGGGGGTTCCTTACTTGCGCCTCATTCAAGACAGGATGTGTTCGAAGTCTAGAACAAGGATATGACATAGAGGTTCTACGATCATACTGAATCCTTGAAGGGAATCAGAGAGAACATGTGTAGATTAATGATCCTGTGATCAGGTACATAGGCCTCCATGTAGGTGTAAGTGCAGAGTCGAATGAGAAGGCCGCGACTTATCAGAAATTTTTGTTCACATGACCTGGCCTCTGACATAAGCTTCCAAGTAGCTGTCCCGAGCCCTTCCAACCTTGGAAGGTTGGACCCATCACATGATGTTTCTTGGCGCGGAACGTCATTTGCTATAAGCTTGCCCAGGTGGCTTTAGTTCTCCTCGTACTTTGTCACCTTAACCCCCAAACTCACTTCACATATTTCCCTTAAACCCCTCAACCATCCAAAATCACCATGCTTCGTCAATTTGTTCGTCCCGTTGCCACTGCCAACCGGGCAGTCTTCACCCGCTCCTTCTCCGTAGCTGTCCCTCGCATGGGTGAAGGTGATACCGGTGCCCCCCGCTCTAGCGGTGGTGCCTCTTCCGGGTAAGTGAGATGATGCGGCTTGACTGCGAAACTTACACCCCGAATTCAATTATAACAAGACAGTCATCTGCCTGACCGTAGTTGGAAATTATACTAGTATTATCGCTAACATATGCCCCCTCTACCAGTGATGCCTTCACCAAGCGCGAGGCCGCCCAAGAGGCCCTGTACATCCGTGAGAAGGAACTTGAGAAGTAAGTCCCGCAGAGCCAAGAGCAATCAAGTTGGAGCAGAGAGCTAATTGATTCGATAGGCTTGCACAGCTTAAGAAGAAGATTGGCGAGCAGCGCAAGCACTTGGATGAGCTGGAGACCCACATGTAAGTGAAAGTCCCCCCTGTCTATTTCCATTTTCTGTTGAACATGAACGGCATGGCTGACTACCTTCTCTTTAGCGATGGCTTGAGCCGCAAATAGGCTCCATACACCCATTTTATCTTATGTTTAATATGAAGAGCTATTCCAATTGCTGTGTATAACATCATATCCGCTCCAACAAATCATCATGGTTGCCTGCCTTGAGATCCTGCCGTCCTCAGCGCCTGTTTTTGAACAAGACATCTCTCTACCATAGCATATGGAGTTCCTCCGCTACCGTGTGTATAATTCCCAGTAACTTGGAAATATCACAGAGAAGTCTCGGCAATATTAGCTTGTACTTAAATCTGTAGACCTAAATTTCTACATGGGCATATTCACTGTCTTTGTATTCCGTATAGGATAAAATCTTGTTATGCTTATGGCTTCTTTAGGAAAACCTCAAGTAACCCGAGAAATTTGTCTTGCCATGAATGTATATCGCCGACCAGGCGTAAAAGATAAACATTATACTCCGGACTCCGTGCAATAATATTAGCTATCCGCGGGTTGCCAAACGTCTCCACATAAAAATAAAGCGGGACCATCCAGGTACGGGGCTCTTTCCTATAACCCATGTTCGCAATGGAAATCTAAATCAAATCACCCAACCTTGGCTTCAACCATGACTCTCTTCGTCCTACCAAATGAGCTTTTGCTAGCCATAGCAGAGACCCAAGTCTCCCAAAATGACATAAATGCATTTGCAAGAACCAGTCGCCGCTGTTATAACCTCCTAAACTCCTTCCTCTATGCATACAACGTCCAAAAGCACCAAGGGAGCGCACTCCATTGGGCAGCAAACAGAGGACAACTAAAAACGGCCCAAGAATCACTCCGACAAGGAGCGGAGATTGAATCCAAGGACAGAAAAACAGGAAAATCGCCATTGATACAATCCATTCGCTATGGCCATACAGACATTGTTGCGTTGCTGTTGGCACATGGAGCCAATCCACGCACTAAAGGCGGCTGGGGATCCCAAGATGCAATTACATTGGCTGTGATCCGAAACCGAGCAGCAATTGCTAGCATTTTGCTTGAAAACGGTGTCGACGTGAATTCAAAGGGCTCCAGGGCCAGCTTATTGCATCTCGCGGCTGAAAAATGTCCCAACAGTCGCGAGGCAGTGGCTAGAGTTCTTATCGAGAAAGGTGCTGAGCTAGAAGCTGTGAATCTCTTGAAACAAACTCCGCTGCAGGTGGCGTGTCAGTCTGGCTCCGTGGAAGTGGCCCGATGTCTAATAGAAAGCGGTGCGGACTTGGAGATACGGGATCGAGTTGGAATGTCGCTCCTGCATCTGGCATCCTCCAATGGAGTTGAGGTCGCTCAGTTGCTGGTGGAGAAAGGAGCAAATGTTGATGCAACGGACGAGAAAGGTGAGACACCACTGCATGTGGCATGCTGGAATGGCCGGAGAGAAATAGCAGCGTTCTTGCTGGATCAGGGTGCAAAATTAGAGGCAAGATCGTTAAAAGGGAACACACCATTGCTACGGGGGGTACTCTGGGAGACCACTGTATGCAAAGACCTGAATTCGCCCTCTGTGGCCGCTCTCCTACTAGAACGAGGTGCCAATCCGGAGCAGGGAAACGATTGGAACATCACACCATTGCATTGTGCGACGTCGAAAGAAAGTTCAGGTCTCTGCAAGATCCTGCTACAATATGGCGCCGACCCAGGGTTGAAAACCATTAAGGGAATGACACCGCTGCACAAATCAGCGCAGAATGGCTCTTTGGACTCCGCAAGGCATTTGCTGCAGAAAGGCGCTGATGTACAACCAAAAGACAGAGATGGCAATACACCATTGCATGTGGCAGTGCAGAGAAATGATGTGGAATTCGTCAAGTTGCTGCTAGAGGCAGGCGCGGGCCGACTGATAAAGAATCGCAAGGGTCAATTGCCTGTACATCTACTATCCGAAGCAGTATAAAGTCAGACAAAAGGCAGACAGAAGTGATGGATCTTCTGGGGGCTCGGTACGAGTCATAGTGACAAGAAGGACATACTAATACAACACATGCAAAGAATTTCTCAATCCTATTGCATTGGATCCTACAAAGCTTCAAAAGTTGCCAATCACAAAGCGCATGCAAGCATTTTATTGTGACCGACTATTAGCATTCCCTGACTACAACAGTACATTCCCCCAAAGCACATCGAGGTGCCAAGTAGCCGATAACTCCGAGTTTAAATCATTAAAAAGAATCATCCGCCTGTTTACCGGCCTTGCATGAAGGAGCGGTAGAAATCATCAGCAGTGTTGTTGTTGCCCATGCCATTGTTCGGATAGCCGTATCCGAGACGGGCAGAGATCGATTGACCTGCTTTTTGGGCGGCAGCAACCTTGGACTGCAGGTCTGAAGTGCCTTGATCGATGACCTGCAGCTGGGACAGGTGTGCGTTGAGAATGCGGACAATCTGCGATATCTATAGAGATGCGTGAGTAAAATAGTTCCCAAAAAAAGCTGGATCTGTACTGGTTTGCGACATACCGGCTCATCTGCCTTGTTGGTCTTGGTCAATGTGGATGAGGCACCGTTGACCTCTTCAATCATGCTGGTAAGATCCTTGCCCATTTCGTCCAAGCGTTCCGAGAGCTTCTCGGCCAGTTTATAGCTAATAGCCATATTAGCAAAACCATGAATATCAAGTGCTGTGTCCAGTGTTATACTTACGTTGTCTCGCGCTCCTGGTCAGGTCCTTGAAGAGACTCTCCAGGGCCCACCTGCTTGGTAACCATCTCGTCAACTTCACGCTCGTATCGATCGAGCCATGAGCTGAGCTCATCCTGTTGACCTTCGACTGCTGACAATTGACGCTCAACCTCTTGGGTAGCTCGATCCGCATCAACTGTGCTGCCGTACAGCTTCTGAACTTTGGTACCATTGTCCACTAGCAAGCGGTCCCACTCGGAAACCTTCTCCGCCTGCTCGCGGAAGTCCTTTTGGTATTTGCCGAGATCTGTGGCCCATCGGGTGATGATCTCATCCATGGTTTTGTTCTTTAGGCGGGACTGGGCTGGAGGGGCGGGTCCTGTGGTAGACTGACCAAGGACGGAGGGCCCGGCTGGAGCAGCGCCGGCAGCGGTTGTAGTCGATGCAGGAGTCGGGGCAGCGGTCGTTTGACTACCAAGTCCACCAAGGGGTGCCGAACTGGTGGGTTTCGCTGGTTGGGTCGAAGGCGTGGAAGCAGCTTGGCCGAACAGGCCGCCCGTAGGCGCAGCAGGTGTAGTGGTAGCAGGTGCAGCAGTGGCCGAAGTACCTAGAGTAGTTGTGGGAGCTGAGGCCCCAAACAGGCCTCCTCCAAGAGGAGTCGCCGCCGGAGTAGTCGAGGGGGCAGCTGTGGATGTGGCACTTCCTGTGGAAGGGAAAAGAGACTTTTGAGGGGTAGCACTCGACGTGGCGGGCGCTCCCAGTGAGGGAGTTGTGTTTGCGGTGGAAGCAGGAGGAGCACCGAGAGCCGGGAATGCAGACTTTGGAGCAGAGTCGCCGCCAGGGGCTGCCATATTTTTGAACAGAGACGGTGTCTGCGAGGTTTGCGCACCACCCGCAGGTGCAGCTGCACCGAAAAGTGACTTGGAAGTGGTGTCTGCAGCAGGCTTAGGAGCGGTTGAATCGGCCGGCTTGTTTGCACCGAATAGACCTCCACTAGTCGCAGGAGCTGCTGCGCCAGCTCCAAAGAGTGACCCGGTTGCCCCCCCTCCAAACATATTGTTAGATGGTTGCGCCTGTGAGGTAGTAGGCGTGGTGGATGACGGCGCTGCGGCGGGAGTAGTCGAGACTCCAGTTTTCGCACCCCCGAATAAGCTGCTTGGTGGGTTGGATGCTGGAGGGGGGCCAGCAGGGGTGGTGGAGTTGTTTCCAAACAGAGCGCTTCCAGCGGGAGCAGGGGTAGCTGTTGGGGCTGCGTTGCCAAACATACTCTTTGGGGCTGCGCCACCGAAGAGTGAATTGCCAGTCTGGCCAGGTGTGGTCGATTCCGTAGGCTTGTTGGGAGTTTGGCTGCCGGCAGCGGCGCCGAAGAGTGAGTTAGGCTGCGTGCCAGTTCCGGATGGAGCCTTGCCGCCGAAGCTGAAGGCCGATGTACCGCTTGTGGTCGCATTGGAAGTGCCTGCATTGCCAAAGGTTGGTGTACTTTGACCTGTTGCGGAGTTTCCTCCAAAAATCGACGGCGATGCGCTGTTGCCGGTGGACGAAGCTCCAACGTTACCGAAGAGTCCACCACTAGGCGCATTGGTATCCTTGTTGGCGCCGAAAGCATTGCCCGCTGTGCCAAAAAGATTTCCACTAGAGCCGCCAGTAGAGGCCGGGGTTCCGAAAGAGAACGACATGGTGTTGGTGATCGAGCTGGAGGTCTGATGGGGGAAAAAGCTGGATGGAAAGAAAGCACCAGCGACACACGGGGCAGGGAGGTGGCCTGCAGAATGGATCAAATGATCCGAGAATGAGAGAATGGAGCTCTTGATCAAATGTGTTGAGACAATGAGCCCAAGAGTGTAATGAGAAAGGCAGGACAAGAAAGTCGAGACAATAGACAATAATAATTGGAAGGAGTTTGGCAAGCACGCGCTGAAAGGTTGGTGCCTGTAATAAAAGGCAACAAAGATGCCTGAATAAAGTGGCCAACTTATTGATATAATTAAATATGATGCCTAAGGCAGATGTGTTCTGGACTCACATCGATCGCAGGGAAACAAGTCGTCACTGCACACTACACACGGCCCCATTGCATTTCGAATTATTCGATTTCTGTGTGCCCCTTCTTTCATGTTAACACCCTGAATTCAAGCTACAATCATGCCGGAGGGGCTGTCCGATTTGTCTAGTTCGCATCTAGAGCCCCCCAGCAGGACTACAGAGATTCACGATCCAGGAGCTGGAGACCATAGTACATGACCCTTAAAATATACTTTGAATATTCGTTTGAGGCTGACATCTATTTAGCAGCTTCTGAAAGCGACGATGAATACTTCTCAGATGCTAGTGAAGGCAATCCCCAACTCCAGTCATCCCCACGATCCGGTCGCATTTCCCCTGTCCCGCGAACGCGAGTCGAGAGGGTTGACAGCACCACCCAACATGGCGAGATTCCTGGCACAGCAGCATTCGAAAAGAGAGAACAGGATGCAGTTCCCGATGAGATCGAAATTATTCCAGAAGGCTCACACAGCCAGATATGTTCGCCCGCGGGGTCAGAGGATCAAGCCTTGAGTCCCGAAGACTTGCCGATTCCGCGCACAGTGGTTGAGAAGGTGGACCCAGATGAACCTAGCCATGGCGAAGTCCCTGGTACTTTGGCACACGAAAAGCGTCTCGCCGATGCTGTGCCCGACGTGGTGATCAAGGCTTCAGATTCCGAGGGCAGCCCAACGCCGCCAGCACTTGACCCCACACCCCCTGAACTTGATAGCTCTACAACAGACATTCCTGAGACACGACTCAAGCGGGTGGATACTATACCCGCTGAAGAAGACCTGTCACCACATCCACAAGCTCATACAAGTTCAGCAAGTGACACATTACCCGATACGGTTGAAACCGTGCCGGATGTCTCAATATACGATACTGAACTGGAAAACAAAAACCTCCCATTGGGGGATGACATGAACGACGACCACGGAAATGAAAAGCAAGAAGCGGGTGATGATTTTGATGAATTTGTAGAAGAGCAGGAAGACATGGGAGATGATGATTTTGGGGACTTTGACGACGGCTTCCAAGAGCCTAGTGCAGAGGAAGCTCCCTCAGACGAAGCCGTGGCATCTCAGCAAGCTCGCGCACCCCCACCCCTTATTGACTTCGACACATTCAAATCCACCTCCGAACTCCTCGATTCCCTCCAAGACACCCTCAACCTCCTCTTCCCCGCATCCCAAGATCTAAGCTCTCTCACCCCTGTCAAGCCAATCCCAGACTCCGCAGCAATCTTCAACACCGAGCGATCCCTCTCGCTGTGGTCTCAGCTTGTTGCACCGCCACCGCTCCAGCCCCAAAATTGGGTGAAATCACGCATCCGCCGACTATTCCTCGTATCCCTAGGCGTGCCTGTTGATCTGGATGAGATCCTTCCGGCATCCAAACAGAAAAAGCTCGTCCTCCCTTCTATTGATCTTGAAGGCCCCGGCGCAAAGAGCCCCGGTGCTCGTTCCAATAGCCAAGTTCGCAAAGAAGAAGGCAACGAAACGAACACAGAAAAAGGACAAACCCCCTCCCGGCAGAAGACTACTCCCCGCCGCGGCGCGCCACCGGCACCGGAAATAGACCTTTCTGCAGTCCGCCGGCTGTGCGCCACTACCGATGCTGCACTGGATGGTCTCACAGATTCGGAGTTGAAGCTACATGTTCAGGAATTAAACCAAGTTACCCAGCGCGCTAGTTCAGTATTGGAGCACTGGCTCAAGCGGCGGGATGGCTTGGTTGGCGAAAAAGAGGCTTTCGAAGGTGTCATTGAGAACCTCGTTAGTCATGTCAGGAGAGTCAGAAAGTAGTCTTTCCTTACTCCGGGCACTTGGTGTACTCTAATTGCCCAATATAATATATTTTGTATAATCTAATGTCGATACCAGAGAAACTTCTTCCAAGGTTGATCTGGAACATAAATAAGCGCATTCGTAGCTTACACCACTAAGAGCTAAAACAAACTATTTCATTCAGCATAGAGCTTTGGTTTCATTTTCTGGGTATGTTTTCATTCTGCTCGTGGCACCTTAAGATAGAGACAGAGAAAAGCTGGACGCAGCCGCAAACCTCGTCCCGCAACGCCAGCAATGACAGATCGTGAGAGGACATAGAAGGAATGCATTTGAACAGCACGCAATAAGGGGTATCTTTCTTTTCAAATGCATGCAAAGTCAAACGAAAGGCATCGGAAGGCCAAAGCCATTGGAGAAGGAGAATAAGATAAGAAAACTTTTGTTAGAAACCTTGCTAGACTCATTAGTCCAGTTCAATTACTGTGGGTTCTTGCGTGCGAACAGCCGGGCTGCTACTACTATTAAAACCATCTTTTCTAGGGCGCACGGCAACGGGCCCGGGTGTGTCTTCGGCCTTGCGCTTCGGAGAAAAGTGTTTGTTTTCCTCGGGCGAGGTCTCATTAGTGTCATACTTGGGGGCCCAGGTTCCATTGACTTTAATCTGAATTGCTCTGACTCCGTCAAGTCGGTTTGTACGGGTGAGCTCGGCATGGATCTCGGCAAGGAACTGATCGACGACCAAGAACTGCGGGCGTGCATCTGCCCTGCAGATCGGACAGTGCCAGTTATCGACCATTGGGGCCGGGCCGGATACAGATTTCCTGGTTATTATAAAAGTGTCACGGTCGAAGCATTCATGGTGATTGCAGTGGCGCGAGCGAACGGGGACATCAAAGATGCGTGCCATGAAGGGATCCACTAGGTCGATAGTGAGGCTGTCGGTGACAACTGCCAGGTCATCGTCGTCGGTGGTAGGAGAAAGCCGCTTTTGGATTGCTGCACGAGAGTCGGCTGCTGGGACGGATTGGATCAGGCTGAGTATTTGGTCGAACTCGGCGATCTCCAAAGCCTCCACTCCAAAGACAAACTTGGAGGTCTTACACTCATCCTGTCCTAAGATCATATCAAGTCGCAGGCTATTTTCGCCAGTTTGAAGGTATTCAGTGATATCCAAAGGCAAATCTTTTCCGTTATGAACCTTCCGGCGCACATAGAGCTCTTTTCCGTTTACAGTAATGTAAAAGACACTGGGCCAGAATGTGCTCGTGGTAGACCAGGTCTGCTCCGTCACAGTATCCGGATTCCCAGGTAGACGAATGCATCGCAGGCGAATAGTCCGGCAACCAGGCCCGAAGGTCCAGACCGAATGTTGGCCTTCTTGTCCGTGAGCTATATGTGGGAACTTTTGGCGTTCATCGTGCGTGAAAGAGAAATTCCAGGTGTAGGTCGGCTGATCAACGCTGACGACAGTTGGGTATACAACGAAGGTGATGGGATAGGTAAACAAATCAGTCTCAATGTCACCTCCATCTGAGCCATGTTTTACCAGTTTCTTCATAGGATCGTGTAGATCAACCAGGTGTAGGCCGAGACGCGTTGGATTTGGATTCACCATCATTGGTGCTCTGTAGCCAGGTAATGGGAGGAAGGCAGAGTTGGTTGAAGCCTGGAGATTTTGTCTCTGAGGCGCATATCTGATCGGCGAAGCAGAGGATTGCGAATTTATCGAACGCTGTCGGTTATTAGGCCTTTGTGGTGGTGGGTACTGCGCCATATGATTCATTGTAGTTGTCGTCGTGGATATGGGCGATGGAGCGTGGGGTGTCTCCGCTGACTGTGTAGAGGTGAGAGCACTCGATTGGAGGGAGGCGTTGACAGGCGCGACTGAAGTTTGGGGCATTGTTGTTCGGTGCTGCATTTGTTGAGCATGTGAAACCGGCGGTTGTTGGGGTCTCCGAGAAGGTGGTACCTGTCCAAGCGCTGTCTGCATGTGCATTTGCATTTGTGGATTCATGTTTGGATTCATATGTGAATTCACCGGATACCACTGTCCCTGTCTCTGTCCCTGCCCCTGCCCCTGTGACATGGCGTTGTAATAGTGATGCTGTGGGGTATTTTGCGCTTGTGGGTTTACGCCAAATTGAAAGGACCCAGCAGCTGAGCCAATAGCCCGGCCCTGGGGTGGGTTTGGGCTCGGGGTAAACGGGTGCAGAGGTCCACCAAGTGGGCTTAAAGCAGGTGAATTTGTCGCAGGCTGACTGGTACCAGCAACCGAAGATATGGGATATGGTGATGGTATTGCTGAAGCAGCTTGAGACACAGTTTGGATCTGAGGTCTGGGAGGTGCAGAGTGGGAAGAATATGGTGTGTGTGATAGATATTCGGACGAACGTGGGAAGTTGTGATATTCTTGGGCAAAATGACAGTTGATATCATGCTGAGTCGTCCCTGGGATTTTACGGTCCATACACTGCTTGAAAGCTGTAAAATTTTTCCAAAACAACACCAGTAAGGGTTCGATATCTTTCTCATCGTGGAGGCGCCGTGCAACACACATGAACATCACCGACATCAAAACCGGAGAAGGACAAGCAAGTGCTTCCCAAAGATGGGATACCAATGGGGGATGGGGGGCTGATACCAGATGCCCTGCCATTCAGTTTCAAGCCGTGATAAAAACTCAGGAATTCCGGACAGCACCTGGAGATACCACTGTGTCTGCATCAACCGTTGTGGAGATTCCGGGAAATGGGCAAACCCAATGGTAGCGGCATCATGCATCATCCCATTGTCTTCCAGAAGACGCTTAAGCCATTCCATGCCAGTCTCAGAGGCTCTAATCTGACCCAATGTAGTTGGATCAATGCTATATCGGCAGTACAATTGATGTATCACCAAGTAGAAAGCATCTTTACGACCAATGGCCTGGCGCAACAGGTTGATCCGAGGCGCAGTAATATTGGTCACCCCCAGGTGAGGATGAGGCAGTGCGCCATTTGTGCGCAAATCAACTACCAAGGCATCCAATTGAGCAGACCATAGTTTCCATGTCTTATTGGGAATGACCTCAGCCCCAGCTCCCCCAATTTGATGTGAACTGAGTCGCGGTCCCGAATCTATGTGTTCTGTACTAGCACCTGTATGTGTGCCTGTAGGTAGCGGTGAGTTGTTGGACCAGTTGGGTCCCGTTAGAAGGGACTGGGTCACACGTGGTGACGTGGCGGGCCCGCTGGGAAGAGGTTGGACCGCCATGCGCTCATCATCGCCACGCTGTGCTGTAGGTTGTGTAGGGGTTGGTGGCAGCGTGTAAGGCCTATTTGAGGTGATCGCGTCGGCGCCGACGGGACTTGGGTGAGAATGTGTACTGAGAACGGGTGAAAGAAGAGCGGCGGTTCGTGTGTCGGGCTTTTTTGCATGAACAGGACCACATGAGGGAGGGTTCTCACCGGGCGTGACTGGGGACATTAAAAGCTTGCTAAGGGCGTTGGGAGGGACTGGTCGTTCAAGGCGATGATTTCGCGTAGCCGATTTCTCCGGGGCTTTAGTCTGCGGGCCCATCCAGTTCCTCCGCGTGCCGCCTAGAAACAGACTGGCGGTAGTATTAGACTCTTCAATATGATCCGCACTAGTGTGCGATCTTGATTTCGGTGATACCATCGAGTAATCATGGAGGCATATATGTCTTTTGTTGGGTTGATCAAGAGCGAATAAAGAAACTCTTTGGCGCTTAGATGCCACAATAGGAATAGATCAATAGACGCAGGTACTAGGAAATGAGATTACATACCTCCAGGGCTACATAGTATATATGATACATGAGATATAGACTCATTAAGGAAAATAAGCCAAATTTCAGTGATATATCGTAATATGTGCTATACGACACCGTCAAATCATGTACGATAATATATCATATAAAAGGGTTATAATAAATCCAATGTAGATTGGGTACTTGGAATGACCGGGTTCATCATACTCCACGCATCAAGTTACTCGAATTCAGATAAATTACAGGTAATTCATGTAATTGGAGGTAATGACCGTAAAATCGGTGCTTCTCAGCTCAAAACCACGGAAATTGTCCCAAGTCCAGAACTTCTTACAATTGCAAACGTCACTTTGACCCTTTTTTTCTTCTTCACATTTTTGATAGTTAGATTGGATAGTGTATTTAATCTCCTTGTGCCTCTTTCATTCCTTATCAAATCACTTGAACATTTCGATCCGATATATTGATAGATATCTCGATCTATCTTATTTGCACATATTCCCAAAAAAAAAAAAACCTCGGGCTCAAGAGGTTCGTGCTCCCGAGCCCCGCCAGTTGTTTAACCTAATCCTCTCTAATCTCAATCTCAATCTCTCTTTAGCTTCCTCACATTCTCTCCCCTTTCTCTCTCCCTTCTACCCAAGTCCACATTGCTCTCGCCCAGAGGGATAAGCGCGAAATTGCGTGCAATTTGCGTACTTCCCCCAAGACGTGCCATGTCTTGCGACTTCCCTTAGAAACACGGAATATTGAGAAATGGTTACCATGGGCCCACCACAGGGTGTTCGTCCTGGCGACATTCTGGAAGTTCTTCGTAAGTGACGTCGTATGCGACGCCTTGATATCTGTGACTCTTTCCAGCTTCTAACACGCGAAACTAGATGAATTTGGCGGACGCGGAGAAGATGAACTGATCATGTTACCCCGCGACAAGATTGAATTGGTAGAGTTGGATGAAGGATTTGGAGATGCCTGGTACTTGGGCAAAAACCTGAGGACGGGACAAACTGGTCTCTTCCCTGCGAGTATGCGCCTGCCCCCAAGAATCTCCTCGCCCAACCCCCCGACTATTATCCCAACTAATCTTTCTGCGCGACCAGACTTTACCAAAGTTGGGCCTCCAAGAAAGACCCTTGCCGAGTCGCCAGTACTTGTAGAGTCGCCGACACAATTAGGAACCTCCGCGCCCGATACATCGTTCGCATCATTCGGCAGTGGACAGAGTACCCCTCAAGCGCGCCACCTGAGCTCTGATATGCAGTCACCGCAAATCGGTTCTCCTTCTCCCACACAACATCGATCTGCCTCGTCTCCTTTGCCTCGCCCAAGCTTAGCGGCCGATATTCAGCAAGCCTTTCGTGGTTCCATGGACAATCATATGAACGGCGAAGAAAGTCCGGTCATGAATGAGACTTTGAGCGTCATTGACGAGCATATCACGGATATGAACACCCCACGTCACAGCATGTCCACCCAAGAACCCAGAACGATCAACGATTCAGGCAGCGAGTACAGCAGTCATATTGGCCATAGAGCTTCTTATATCAATGGGAATGAAACCGACGACGAGGAGCAGAATCATCCAACCGAGCAAGAGGTGCGGAAATGGAATGAAGCACAGACTTCAAGGTGCTTGCGCGGGCTTGGTATCGACCCTAAACACTGCGACATCTTTGAAGAACAGGAGATTACCGGTGATGTGCTTCTTGATATGGACCAGGATTTCATCTTTATGAAGGAATTCGACTTTGGAGTCATGGGCAAGCGACTCAAAACCTGGCATAAGATCAAGGCATTCCAAGAAATCACCAAGGGCTCCGGTCAGCAGCAAACCCCAGGAGACTCCATATCCTCCAGCTTCTCGGGGCCTTCCGACGAACGTACATTATCTCGCGCTGGACACACCGGTCCACTTCTTCCTCGGATTCCGACCTTGTCAGAGAAGACCGGTTATCCACGAGCCTCCGCACCGGCGCAGCACCCTCGATTGGCCAGCAACAACAGCTCGCCCATAACACCGCATACTCCTCCGTACAGCCATGATTCACCGAGAAGAATTTCGGCAGCGTCGATCCGTGACCTTAACCAGGCACGTCGTCATTCTTCCATTGATGCCACTCAACGCGGCATGTCTGATTCGGTTTTCGTTGGTCACCATCAAAAAAAGCCATCATTCGACCGGTCCTGGACTCTCAATTCTGGCCCTCAATCCATGTCCGCTCGCCCAGGAACCTCGACGGGCACTAGTCCTGGTGGCTTCCGGGGCGGCCCGCTAACCGCTGACTCAGATCCTTTCGCCAACTCCTATATCAGTACCCCGGATCCAATTGATGATCTAGATCGGGGTTATTTCTCGGGAACCGAGGTTGACTCACGCCGAAGCCGCCGGGTTCTACAGAAACGGGTGTCCGCCGGAGTCGGTGTAAACAATCACTCGCGAAAGTCAAGCTATGCAGAAGATCCATACAAAGTGATATCCCCAGCGAAGCGCCACTCTCGCATTAGCAGCGCCGACTCGATCCGTGACGCGTCAAAGCGTGTCTCCCCCGCGGCCCAGGCCTATCATGGCACGCCGCCGAAGAGTCGGCTGCGGAGTTTGAGCACACGCGTCTCAACGGATAGAAGTCAGTCATCAACCACTGAGAGCAAAACCAGTAACGGTGGTGGGTTCTTCGCCAACTTTCCCCTGGTCGGCAGCAAAGGTGAACCGGAAAGCTCTTCTTTTCGCGCCTCGCCGTTGCAATTCCAGCCACTGAAGAATGCTGGGCCCAAGTTCCGCCGAGCCATGGGCCTTCGTGCCACATCCGACGTTGCTGGAAAGAAGCTTGACACTTCTGCCCTGCCTGACTCGCCTCGGGAATCTGATCCCACCTCTGCTCGCACTGGATCCACAACTCCATCGGCGACATCTAAGAGCTCAGAACGGCATAGTACAGATGGGTCTGGTAAGGCCGCCACTGACGGACAAGGATTCGTAGTCCGTCCTCGGACCGTCAAGTCCAAGAAGGAGACCAGTGCATATACTCGGGGTCTTGAGAAGAAGACACCGCGTGAGCAGATGGATGGCTGTGACTATAGTGGATGGATGAAGAAGAGATCATCTAACTTGATGACCACCTGGAAGCCCCGTCTGTTCGTCCTGCGCGGTCGTCGTCTCTCCTATTACTATTCTGAGGATGACACCGAGGAAAGAGGCTTGATCGACATCACCGCTCACCGTGTCCTGCGAGCAGATCAAGATCCGATCATCGCTCTACACGCGACCATTACCGGCTCAACCGCGTTACCAGCCAATGCCAACAACACCGCGGAGAGTTCTGGCGGCACGAAGCTCACTACTCCCTCGATGATGCAATCGCTGACCACCAAAGACGGCAGTGGGCCGTTCTTCTTCAAGCTCGTGCCCCCGAAGACAGGCAACTCCCGCACCGTGCAGTTCACAAAACCGGCCACCCACTACTTCCAGGTCGACAATGTCCAGCAGGGTCGTCTGTGGATGGCAGCGTTGATGAAAGCGACCATCGAGCGTGATATGGGACAGGCAGTGGAATCCACCAACAAGCAAAAGACTATCAGTCTGAAGCAAGCCCGGTTGATGAACCAGCGGCCACCGGAACTGATGCCCGCTTCGGGCAGCACCAAGACCGAGCAGACCATCGACGAGGAAGAAGAAGAGTCAGGTCTCCAAATCGAGGGCTTGAACCTCAGCCAGCCCTCTGATGCCAACTCGTTCGAGGACACAAACGGCAGTCTGGACAATGAAGACACAGATAAAGGTCTCGAACGACCTTTGTCTAATCCTTTCGGGGGCTTTGACGGCGGCCACTCGTCTTTGTTTCCGGATCCTCTAGCCAAGACGGATTCCAAGTGAATATTCATTCGTGACCTTGCTTCTCTTTTTTTGTTTCTTTCTTTTTTTTTTTTGCTGGCGTTTGATGTGATATACCCCTCGCTCATACTTCTTCCCTTGTTGACTCGGCCAATTTTGTCATTGCAGGTACGTTGGTCACCGGGGAATTCATGTGGGAGTATACGATTGACTTGCTTATGGACACGAAGTTGACTGGAGCCGAGCGTTTTTCCCTATACTAATTTCGTCTGCGAATGTAGATATAATAATACTTACACCATGGCTGTTTACTTCTCTTCATTGCCCCGGGATTCACCGCCCCATAAACCGCCAGCTCTTATTACTGGCAGTATATGGCCACCATCATGCTCAGGTTGTATAACTATAAATAGCTTACTCTAGTACTCTAAATATCTCCAGATAGTAGGATCAATATCTGTGAGGTCGTTGATAATGACTTGACTATAAGTTGTGCGTTCAGTTTTTGGTCTAATCATATAGCCATGTCACCAGGTATATATGTGCGCGCTATCTCTGTTGATTAGCGATGTCCTCCCTGGAGCTTTTTGTTTCTTCTCCTTTCCACCATTCAAAGCAACGATCTTCAATATGCTGTATAGGTTCTTATAACATTTATTCTTTCTGTCATTTTAGATTCCTCATGTCCCTCCGCTGGCTGCTCTCCCGCACCTTTGCGCTCCTTCTTCCACTCACGGTGACCGCCACTGTTTACCTCTATCTCTACCCAGTTTTCAACGGATGCGCCTTTCCTCTACCACAGTCTGCCTCACGGTCGGGTGAGAAGCAGCTACATCATAACTCAGTGCTCAACACACTTTTCCAACACTTCGGCGTTTCAACCTCAGACACAAATAGTCAACCCGCCATCTTCAGACTCCTAGTCCTCGCAGACCCCCAATTGGAAGGCGACTCCTCACTCCCTTTCCCCGAATATGAATTATACCCACGCATGAAGACCCACTGGCGCGCCGTCCAGGAAGCAATTGGCAATGCCTCCACTTCACCTCTGCTGAACGAGGACGTCCTCTCAAACATCACAACCGGTCTCAAGATCCTCGCAATCGAGGACATCCCACGCGCCTTCGGCTCGGGCCTGAAACGCCTCGACCTCTTCGGCAATGACTACTACCTCGCACACATTTACCGCACGCTCTTTTGGTGGACCCGGCCGACGCACACAACCGTCCTGGGCGACTTGGTGGGGAGTCAATGGATCTCCGACAACGAATTCGCCTGGCGCAGCCACCGGTACTGGAACCGCGTGTTCCGTGGCGGGGAGCGAGTTGACGACAACATCACCAGAACCGGTACTGCGGGTTGGAGCCATGGCGAAGGCACCAATACGCCGCCGTTAGAAACCCTGGGCGCGGATCGGGCTTGGGCCAGGCGCGTGATCAATGTCGCAGGAAACCATGATGTTGGATATGCGGGGGACATAAGCGAGGCGCGAATGGAGCGGTTTGAGCGTGCGTTTGGCCGTGCGAATTGGGACGTGCGGTTCGAACACCCGCCCATTTTGTCTTCGTCTGCGCCTGCTGGTAACCAGCCTGTTACCCCTACTCTGCATCTGATTAACCTCAATTCCCTCATGTTCGATACCCCTGCGCTTTCTGCAGAGATCCAAAGTCATACGTATTCTTACCTGAACGAGCTAATCGCCGATCGACTCTCGCCGGTCGAGGACCGGTCAGCTTTTACTTTGCTTTTGACACATCTACCCCTGCACAAGGAAGATGGCGTGTGCACTGACGGTCCATATTTCTCATTCCGGGATTCTGACGACAAGGATGGCCCCAACGGTGTGCCCCGGTGGCTTGACGGTGGCCTCAAGGAGCAGAACCATCTCAGCGATACACTCAGCGCGAGCGCGATCCTACAGGGGATCTTTGGGCTGAGCGGCGACACGAATGCGCTTTCTGGTGGTCACGGCCGAAACGGGCTAATCCTTACGGGCCATGACCATACGGGCTGTGATACTGTGCATTTCGTCAACCGCACTGAAACAGTCGATGACGACGGTTTGCCTCAGGCTTGGAAGTGGGCTGCGAAGCGATTCAATAAGAGCCAGCACATCGACGACCCTTCTATCCGGGAGGTAACCCTCCGTTCGATGATGGGGGAATTCGGCGGTAATGCCGGTCTTCTTTCGGCGTGGTTTGATGAGGTTGCCGGCGAGTGGAGCTATGAGATTACTATGTGCCCAGCTGGTGTGCAGCATATCTGGTGGGCAGTTCATATCCTCGTGCTGGTTACGCTGGGTGTGGCTCTGCTTTGTTTCTTAGCTCGTGGTGCTCAGGCAAAGGCAAAGCCAGCTGCTCGGAAAGTCCGATCAGAACATAAGATTCAGAATGGACAAAAGAAATAATTGGGTTGTAGAACTGTTTTTCAATTGTATTAGCAGCATTGGATAAATGAGCGGTTTGCATTTGGATACATATTGCAAAATATATATTTCATGTCTGACCCTAAACTATATCAAGAACTATACGTGACCTGACTGAAGCTGTGGCAGGTTGTATATATACTTGTCCAGACATGAAACATAAAGTACGTGTACGGGGGGTCCACGGAGGAACTACGTAGAGCCATTGGTGGTCATATCAGAGTTCATATATCGGACAAAGAAGAAACAACCAGGACCATGTCCCCTCCCATACAGCATGCCTAGAACCCTTAGGCCAGCCCTCGAGGTAACGGGCAAGGCATTGCAAAAGGATGTGATTTAAGATATTGCTTCCGAGAGCTGCCAGTAAAGGAGGGAGAAAACACCTAGATGGAGGATAAAACCGGCTTAAAATAAACAGTTGGATTTCATCAAATGGACACCACCTGTCCAGCTCCCATTTTAATCCTATGGTCTCATATGCACCGCATTCCAGGTCCCAAGCAGATTTGATGTTTGGTATCGTTCTTTTTCTTTAAAATTCGGGTTTTCTCTCTTTACATGACGACACCGGAGTTGGAGGCAATACGCTAAAAAGAGGTGTTAGTTTTGGTTCGAGGATCTGAACATGGAATAAAATCCAGTTCCATGTGGGTTGTATAACGTACGGGCCAGAGCTCAGCAGCTTCCTTTCCGACGGGACCGGTAATGGCGGAACCCTTCATCTCACCCTTGGCGTTGACGATAACTCCTGCGTTGTCCTCGAAGTACAGGAAGATACCGTCGGGGCGGCGCCAAGGCTTGCTCTGGCGGACAACGACAGCGGGCATGACCTTCTTGCGGAGCTCGGGCTTTCCCTTCTTGACGGTGGCCATGACCATGTCTCCGACACCAGCAGCGGGGAGACGGTTCAGGCGGGCACCGATACCCTTGACGGAGATGATGTACAGGTTGCGAGCACCGGAGTTGTCGCAGCAGTTCATCACGGCGCCACTGTTTGACGAAAAAAAGGACCCGTTAGTGAATTGTTCTAGATCTTGGAAGACGTCGTGTTTCGAATGCTGAAAGTGGATATCCAATTTTCTTTTCCCTTTCTTCCCGCCGATCTCTTCGTATTGTTGCATGATGTATGTATTGCTGAGGGCGTGATCGACTGAAAATAACATGTGGGATCCGGCGGGCAAGAGAAGGCGCATTCGAAACAGACTAGACGATAAGAAATTTGTAGACGTACACAGGCAGACCGAGAGTCATCTTGAGCTTGTTGCCGGCGGCACCGCCACGACTGTTTAACCGTTAGCGAATTTCGTTGTCGTTTCGTTCATTTCCCAATCCGAGTCCCATTCTATCCTCTCGAAACAAAGGTGTTGTGTTGCTTGTTCATGCTTGCAAAATTGTGCATCGGTTCGGAATCGAATGGGGCCACGTAGGGAATCGCTGTGAGACTCACCCTCTCTTAGACATGATGGCTGATGATCACGGAAACGAAGTTGGGTGAAAAAGGTTGGCGACAAGAGGTCGAACGTCGAGGATCCAAACTGGAGGTGTGCTTTCTCGCTTAGTGGGCAAAGTGCGTAAAATCTTGGCGTTGGTAGGTGATTGGCTGCTCATCTCCATCAAGTTTGCCCTAATGCTAACCCGATTTGGAATGGCAAATTTAGATGCCTGAGGCATCAATCGTATACTTCTAGGGTTCAAATGTGTTGGGTTCGAAGTTTGCATTTCACTGAATAATACATTTGCAACCTTAAAAAAAAAACAGCTCGGCGAAAAGAAAAGCAGATAGCACATGGATGAAGATAAAATATGAAATGATTCCTTGGAAGTTCATAAGAGCAACCTGCCATCCCCGAAACGTTTCAAGGTTAAAGCTTGATGTGAGTCTGCCATTCCGCCACGAGTAATGCCCCCAAGTGTCAAGCAAGATGCGAGCATGTTATTAAAAACCGATAACACCTTTCTGCCATTGTCCGTTGCGCCAGATCCGATATTGTCGTCTTTGCATCACAGTCGATTACTCCTCTTTCTTGGGTTCTGCTATGTGTTCCGGGTTCTCTAACTTGGTGGCCGTCACCGCCGCAGTGTCCGCAGCAGTAGCAGAGGCTTCGGTAGTCTTCTCAAGGGTAGAATCGGGAGCCTCCTTTGGAAGGGACTGGGCCCGCATAGGGGAGACGGTGGAGCCCTCGACCAGGGACTTTTCCTCAATCATTGGCGCTTGTACCGGGGCCTGTGTAGTAGGTTCAGCGACAGTAACAGCAGCATCCTCCATGGTAGTATCTTCATCATGAGGGGGAGGAGACTGGCGTTGAGAGGTAGTGGAGGCTTCCTGTTCCTCGCTTTCCATGGCCATGTTGTCAGCATCAGTCATGGGGGTTTCATCAGCATGTGAAGCTTCCGGAGCGGTGAGAGGCGCCTCGGGTTCAGTGCGTGGCGCATCAGCCATCTTAGAATCAAGCGCGAACTCCATTTCTCCATCAGCCGCAGATGAACCATCTTGGGGGGTTGCCATGCCACTATCCAGCCCAGAGTCCGGCTCGAGATTTCGGTAGTTGACTTGGTTGCGACGACGCGTGGCGCCTGGTTGGCGACGAACACCATTGGCAGCATTCTCCTCTTCGTCTTCGCTATCACTAAGCTCGCCAGCCTTTTCCGTACGTTGGTCGAATCGTCGTTGTGTGAAGCGCTTGTCTTTGTTTTCATCCTCATCGAGGTCATCCATAACGTCATCAGCCTCGTCGTCCATGCCATCCAACATGGGATTACGCGGCACATCCGTCATCTGGACTGAAGGAGCGAATGCCGTGCGCTTGAGATTCTCGACAACTTGATTGCGAATCTTGTCCAGATATTCTCTGGTGTTAGCGTTGTCCATATTGGAGGGGCGGACATCAAGCTGATAATCAGGGGCGAAGTACTAATTCAGTTAGTAATGATTCGTCTGCAAGAAACAAGAATATTACCTCGTAGTAATCATTGTATGGCAGCTCCGATCCTAGGGGTTCCCCGACAAGGATACCAGTCTCATAAGCCCACGTCCGTGCAACGTTGCGCATGGTGTAGCCACCACCGCCAAGAACCAATGTTGGCAGATCAAAGCTCTTGACGAAATTGACACAGTTGGCGTGTCCTCGCATACTGAGGTTGAAACAGCCCAAGCGATCACCAGACAGACTGTCACCACCGCACTGAAGGACAACGGCCTCGGGGCGGTACCATTCCATTACGCTCCTAATGACAGGCTCAAAGATGCTCTTATACGTGACATCAGTTATGCCATCACGGAGAGGGAAGTTGACTGCGTAGTTTTTGCCCTGTCCAACACCGATGTCGCGAAGCTCACCAGTACCAGGGAAGTACTCGCCGTACTTGTGGAAAGAGCAGGTCATGACGCGATCAGTTGTGTAGAAGGCTTCTTCGACACCATCACCATGGTGAACATCAATATCGACGTAAAGTACTCGCTGTTTGAAGCGCAGCAGCTCCAGAATTCCGAGAACGATATCTACATGGATGTTAGCTTCCGAGACAGACGCTTGGAGACCGAGACCTGATACCATTGACATAGCAGAAGCCACTTGCTTCGCTCTTCTTGGCGTGGTGAAGACCGCCAGCCCAGTTGACAGCAACATCGCATTTGTTGCGGTTCAGTCGCGCAGCGCCTTCCATGCTGCCTCCAGCGCTGATTCCGCAGAACTCGAAGAGACCGTCAAACACGGGGCAATCGTCTCCAACGTTGTACCGGCTTTGTTCCTTTGAGAAGTGGTCCATGTTGTCGGGTGTGACCTTGGACAGGAAGTCGATATATTCGTCAGTGTGGAACTGGGTCATCTCATACTTGGAGGCAGGTTTTGCACGCTGATCATGTTAGTATAGAGGTTAGACAGAAAAATTGATAAGTCTACTCACGTAGATCTCCATTTTCTTGTAGAGGCCATAGTTCATCACCAAGCTGTGGGTCATGCGTATGCGATGAGGCTTCATGGGGTGGCCCGAGACATAGGCGTAGTTGCCCACATCGGAGTCGTAGAAGTAAGCGACTTTCTTGTTTTTAGACCCGAGAATCCTATCCGAGATAGGTTCCAAAGCCATGTTTCAGAGAGTGACAGACGGTCACTTGGTTAACAGTGTGAGAAAAAAAGTGAAGTTCAAGAAGTGTAAGTGAGATCCGGGGAATGATGAAGTAGCGTTAGTTGCAGGCGCAATGCAGATATACTCCCAGAGGGGGGTAAACAGGCAGCGATGACACCTATTGTCACCAGATCCCGCAATGCGAAGATTAGGTAGTAGAACTCAATCACAATAGCAAGCCAATGTCATTGTTCATCCAGGCTTTTGAAGAATAGATAGAGGAGAGAGAATCGGCCGCGAAGGAGCGGAAGCCGACCGAAACACACACCGCCTTCGTCAGGCAAAGCTCCCACGGCTTTGCTCATCATCAGTTAACACGTCTTCGACAACCTTGTTATCTTCTCGCTAATATCACATCTGCCGGGGATTTTTATTATCTTGTATCTTTCTTTGAATACTGTTTCGGCAATACCAAGCGACTAGAGACAAATCGACTTGTTCCAGAGCTTCCAAGTAGCGATAGCTTCGTCCTCTTTACTCTCGTTTCATCAAGTCTTGACGAAGATCTCTTAACTATGGATCGCCTTAACCGGATGCTCCAAGCCGCTCAAGGCATGGGGATGGGAGGTGCTGCTCCTGGTGGTGTAAGTTGGATTAGTCCTCTGATCCCATTCTAGGAGGCATTAATGGCAACGGTCTAGCCTAGCTAGCTTCACCATATTGATCTACATTGACTAATGAGAGCCGTATTTAGGATACCCCAAACCTGATTGATAATTCCGAAACTGTCCACATCTCCTCTTTGGCTCTGCTGAAGATGCTACGACATGGCCGCGCCGGTGTCCCGATGGAGGTCATGGGGCTAATGCTGGGCGAATTCGTTGATGAATACACAGTTCGGGTAGTGGACGTCTTTGCTATGCCCCAGAGTGGCACCGGTGTCAGTGTTGAGGCAGTCGACCCCGTGTTCCAAACTAGAATGATGGAAATGCTCCGGCAGACGGGACGGTAAGCCTATCAGCTGATATATACTAAAGACTCCCCCATTGATAATTTCGTACAGACCAGAAACCGTCGTTGGCTGGTACCACTCGCATCCCGGTTTCGGCTGCTGGCTCTCCTCGGTCGATATCAACACTCAGCAATCCTTTGAGCAGCTCACACCGCGTGCGGTTGCCGTTGTCGTCGATCCTATCCAGTCAGTGAAGGGCAAGGTTGTTATTGACGCCTTCCGTCTTATCCAGCCTCAGACGGTAGTTATGGGCCAGGAGCCCCGCCAGACTACATCAAACTTGGGTCACCTCAACAAGCCTTCGATCCAGGCTCTGATCCACGGTCTCAACCGCCACTATTACAGCATCGCGATCGATTACCGTAAGACGGGATTGGAAGAGAATATGTTGATGAACCTCCACAAGCACGTATGGACCGAGGCCTTGGAGATGAATGACTTCCATGAGGAGGGTCAGCACAACGTGGAACGCATGAAGCAGCTCGTTCTTCTTGCAGAGGGCTACGAGAAGCGAATCAAGGAAGAGACGGAGCTGAGCAAGGACCAACTGAAGACGAGATACGTCGGCAAGGTGGATCCCAAGAAGCGTATGTTTTTCCTCCTTGTGACAACAACCCCCCAAAACAGAGATTAACGCTTTACAGACATCGAGGACGTAAGTCAACAGTTGATTGAGGATAACATCGTTGCCGTCTCGCGGCAGATGATTGACAAGGAAGCTTCGGTGGCACGGCAATCATCCAAAGAAGATACAAACGGTGCTGCTATGGAAGTTGATGAAGATCTCTAAAGAGAGGTAGAAAAGTGTGCCAATCAAACCACTTTAATTATTTCTGATTGGTTGGGCTTTATGTTACCAAACCAGACCAACAGATGAATGAAATCTATTCAAATTTTAACGTAACAATTATAAATTCATTGTCAACCAGAATGGCATGTGGGCCATTGTTGAATGTAGGTCTGTGTCTATAATTTCGTTTCGTGGGATCGATACGCCGCGCAATGTATATAAATCGTAACAGTATTAACAAGATCCACTGAACAATGGAGTGGAGTATCATGACTCCAACCTCACTGTCTGAAGCGAGTTGCTCAAGGCTTCGACAATATCAGAGGAGTAGGCCCGCAGGCCATCAAAAGCAGCATCCACGTCAGTGCAGTCATTTTTCTCGTGGGTGTCATTTTGAGCGTCGGTCCAGCCTCTATCAGGGCCCCAGAGAACTTTCTTCTGCGCATCGCGTGTTTCCGTAAGCAATCGAGTCATTAAAGGCCCGTTCTTCTCTACAGAGGGCCAGGCATCGAATTCGACCTGAACTAAACCCGGCAAACGCTCCAGGATTTGGTGCAACAATTTGCCACAGAAGTCGGTATAGTAATCCTTCGATTTGCGAAAGCCTTCGAACGCAGGTTGTGAAGGGTCACACTGCACAAACACTTTCAATGTGCGGACAAGCTCCATGTCGTGTAACCCCAAGCCCTGGTTTACAATCCATGATTTTGGGGGCGCAGTCCAGCTTGATCCCACAATCAATTCAATTGTGGTGATCGAAGGACGGTGGCGTCGAGGCAAAGCCCGGATTGTGGGCATGCGCAAGAAGTCCTGTACAGGAAACACACGGAATATCTGGGTTGAATAGAAGTAGTGAGTGGCTTCGTCGTGGATTTGCCTGGAGACACGGAAAAGGGCGATGCGGTGCGAGGATGGTGCTAGAGGTTTGCCCTTCTTCGCCGAAGACCCAACACTGCCAGTAGGCTTTGATGCACTTTTCCGGGTCGGTGTGAACAGGACATAATGATAAATGCGTAGGCGAATCTCGGACGGTAGATGCAGGAAAGGGAATCGCAGTAGGACCGGAGGTGTGGCGTCTGGTTCAGAGTCGACATCGGAGAGTTGCTCCTCGAAACGGAGCATGTTCTTTTTGAATCCCATGATTGGAATGTATGTAGATGAGTTCTATGAGGTACAAGCGAGTCTAAATTTGGACAGGAAGATCATATTTCTGGTAATAAGACGGTAAAAAGAGAAGAAGATAAAAAGCTAAAAAGAATTGTGTCCCACGATCGGAGCGCAGCTTCACGGGAAAATCCTTTGCTGCGCTCTTGGTAGTGGGAATGAAGAATATCTTCGTTGGTCTCCCCAGCTAATACAACCCGACATGCAGAGAAGAATTGCTTGGTAGGTCAAATTAATGTCTGGGTGAACTTTCTGAAGAAGGAAAGAAAAAAAAGGAAAAGGATCGGTGGCCTAGGGAGTCGACATATAAACAAAGTGCACGGATGGCTCGGATGAGCCGCCGTACCGAGTCGCGCCGACTTTTAACAGGAAACTGTCGTCCATCCCATCATTCTGGACAGTTCTGTTCAAAGTCCCAATACACAATGCTTAGTCGTGCAGTCCTGCCTCTAACGAGGCCAAATGTCCTCGCTTCTGTCGTTCGGGCTTCGACCGTGTCGGCGCGGCCCTCGCCCTACGCTGCTTACAAGCTTTCCCCAGGTATCCAGCTAAGGGCGAAGTCGAACAAATCGAAGCCGAATACTCCCAATCCAGATCAAAAAGACTTCGCCGCCGAGCAACCTGAGTTCAATACAAAAGCCGAACCTACACAACCTTCAGAATCCGTGAGACTTTCCGTTTACATCGTACATAAATGAATCCCTTTTTTGACGTTGTCTGTTTAGGTCGAACAAGCCCCACAAACGCCTCTCCCCGATCTGACACAAGGTATTCCATCAACGCTGGCCGCAGAATTGGAAGGTCGCATGAAAAAGGGACCGTTGAATCTCACTGAAGATCCAACCCAGTCAGAAGAGTACGGCGCGGATGGCAGAGGAGGCGGTGACATCCCCAAAGGCGGATATGAAACATCTATCGACCGTCGCAAGGCCCGTATGGCCAATATAGTATACGCAGCCATGTTGATTGCTGGTATTGCTGGTATGGGCTACCTGGGTCGTAACTGGGAAACCGAAGAGGAGGAGCGCCAACACCCCGAGATCCCATCCGGATGGAGCCCTGGTCTTTGGTACAATCGTATCAAGGCCCGCACTAGCGATCTCACCAGCTACTACAAGGACCCTGCTTTCCCCAAGCTGCTTCCTGATGAGGACGCCGAGATGCGTCAGCCATACACCCTGGTGCTTAGTCTTGAAGACCTCCTTGTTCACAGCGAATGGACTCGTGAGCACGGATGGCGGGTTGCCAAGCGGCCTGGTGTCGACTACTTCCTCCGCTATCTGAACCAATACTACGAACTCGTTCTGTTCACCAGTGTGCCCAGTATGATGGCCGATCAAGTTCTACGCAAACTCGACCCTTACCGTATCATCCGCTGGCCCCTGTTCCGCGAGGCGACCCGGTACAAGGATGGAGAATACATCAAGGTATGCTAATTTCTACCCCCCCCCTTACCAGTGAGAAAGCGCTAATTGTCTTCCAGGATTTGCAATATCTCAACCGTGATCTTTCCAAGGTTATTCTCATCGACACCAAGGAGGAGCACGCCCGCTACCAGCCCGAGAACGCCATTGTTCTGGACAAATGGACTGGAGACCCGAAAGATAAAACCCTGGTCGCCCTCATCCCCTTCCTGGAATACCTTGCTGGTATGGGCGTCGAAGACGTGCGTACCGTGCTGAAGTCATTTGATGGCACTCCAATTCCCGCGGAGTTTGCCAAGCGCGAAAAGGCGATGCGTGAGCGATTTGAGAAGGAGCTTGCCGAGGAGCAGAAGAAGAAGCCCTCGCGTGGTTTGGGCAACTTTGCTGCCGCACTTGGCCTGAAGTCTTCTGCCACTCTGAACGGTGAGCAAACTCCCTCCGAGGGTCTGGCCCAAGGCAAGATGCTTTGGGATCAGATCCGTGAGCGGGGTCAAAAGAACTACGAGATGATCGAGTCGGAGATCCGCGCGAACGGCGAGAAGTGGCTCGCTGAGATGGCGGCCGAGGAGGAGAAGGCCCGCCAGGAGCAGATGCAGAGCATGAAGGGTTCTTTCACTGGCTTGTTCAGTGCTGGCTCAAAGGATCAGTAATCGGCGCGCGCCAATTACTTTTTTTATTCCCTGTCTAGAAGATCATTAGGGGTTCGTTCTGATCATTAATGAACGAGTGTAAAATAGCGTTTGGGGATTTGTTTTTTTGTACAAAATTTTAGTCAGAAATTTTAATATGAGAAAGACTGAGATTAAACTGATATCAAGGTCGTTGGGCTTTGGATCCCAGGGTATATTGTTGAAATAAGAATCTAGAAGTGTATCAATGATCTGATCATGTCAGGTTCACATCTTGGAAGACGGAGACATCCCATATTCCTGTCATGTCAAAGGGGAAGCCGTCCATTGTTCCAAAAGTGTTGGATATCGACATCATGTCGTCGACAATATCGTTATTAGTTTGGGTCTCGGGCAGCGATATCGCGGCCGGGTTGACCAGCCCGCTATCTGCCATTGTGGTTGTGAATGCCTGATCCATCGTGGCACCAGTTCCGGGAAGCCGGTGCATAATGCGTTCACAGTGATCCAGACACATGTCTGCTACATCCCAGTCTTCTTCTTCCCGCACACGACGCAAGACTGAGCGCAAGGTTTCGACGTTAGAAAGACAGGATCGTGCAACTTCACTGTCGGTGGTTTCAAAAGCACAACGAACTAGCAATGTCGCCGTTGACGTGAGGTGAAAGGCGCTATCTGTCAAAAAAGATTAGGGAAAAAAAGAATGAGCAGAGAGAATACTTCAACTTACAGGGTAGCCAGAACTCTGTGAAATTGCTTTTTCGCAAAGACGTCATGAATCCAACAATCTCCTCTGCTGACTTTCTGCATTCCGTTTGGAAATAGCGACGTGCCTCGGTGTTTTCCGTTTCAGAGTTGTTCACTTCCTGCAAGGTTGTTAATGATCACTCCTTTCAATCTCCTCCCTCTCGGCTTACGTTTAGTTCAACCCGACTGACAAGCATTTTGACAGCCAAGAAAGCCAGTTGTAAGCTGCTTGCTCCATAAATCCGTTCTCCGGTGTGGATTGTGGGGCCTCTCAACCAGTCCGGTAGGGAGTCTTCCCATATATCGAGATCTGTTCGTATTTGTCTGAGCTTCTTGGATGTCTCGCGTGCGGGTTTGTGTTGCAGCCCATAAACCAGTGGTAACAGCTCGCCCAAAGTCTCGGTTAGTCGGCATAGGTAGATGTGACAGTGTGCTGCTCTCACACGCTCTGTGGTGCGGAGGTCTGATGGGACCAATACGTCCACAGTGGGCAGAGGCACGTCATATTGATTTTTGGAAATCTGAGGTGGGACTCCATGACCAAAGCTTCCCCTATTCATTGTTAGGTGTGTTGCAAGCCAGAAGGAAGACGGAACTATATTACCAACGATCGTGAATCACAACTCCCCACCACAGACGAATCCGCTGGTTTTTTTCTGCTTGTGAGAGCTTCCAATTGCTAGGATCACGGTTCAAGCCGAGGCAATTCGCCAAAGACAACATGCGGCCACAGCTGACGGCGTTGCCAGTCATAGAGAAAATGGGTCGTCCAGTCAGGTCGATAAGCGCGGCGCTGATTGTGTCCAACCCGGGGGCTGAGAATTCCTCATGCAACGCAGCGACGGTCATGTTGATCGCATATCGGACGTCGGGCTTCGGATGACAAGCGAGTTTTTGGGTGTGTTTCCAATATACGAGGGACATGGAATAAACTTGACACACTAGCGCAGCTGGTGGGTCGTGTAGGTCTTCGGCGATGTATGATTCCCAGAAAGATTCTCCGTCGAAGATCGGGAAAGAAACGTTAAATCGATCAATGAAGCTAGAGAGGAAAGTATCAGTAGGGTAGAAAACGAGGGCGGGAAGTCCACGCCCAACATACAGTCTCACTAGGTCGTGTTTAAACGGCCCGAGTATTTGTTCGAGGACCTCTTTCTGGTTCTCACCAGGAGGCGTTCCTTTCCGCATGCCTTTCCTTCGCCGTGAGATTGTAGTGTAGAGCACTGGTTTCCGCGGATCGCTAGAGTAAATATTGTACGGGTGGCTCTTCGGCTCTTCCGATTGACTCGTCCGCTCCGGAGGCATGTGCTTTTCAATGACTTGGGCATCTTCAGCTACCATAGGGCCAACAATGAGAACGGACTCATTCTGGTGATCGTCCATATCTTTCCGGCGCGGATCACTTCCTCGACGTCCACTCGACGAAGTCGTTCCATGAGGACTGGGCCCATTGATCGGCTGTCGGGAGGGGATATTCTGGCTCAAGTGAGCTAGCTCATCGGAACTGCGCTTACGCTTCTGTCCAGGCATGGCGTCCATCACTGGAGGCCCCGGCCAAGATTTTGAGTCCGGGGCACTCAAGATCGAAGCATCCGCGTTGGCCTCTTCTTGGTAGTGACAGTCGGCACCTTGCACGCGACAAAGAAGACAGGATTGACCGGGGATGTCAACAGTACATCGGGACTTGCGTTTGCGACACAAGTCACAGGCGCGGACCTTGTGGGAACGATAGGGTCGGGCGCCGGCATTGAATCCGGGGGATGGAAGTTTGGAGGAATTGACTTGGGCTGGTGCAGGTGACATGATGCGCGTGCCCAAGTGTGAGGGAGGTTGCTGATTGCTAATAGAGGGAAAGCAAAGGATGGTGATTTGGAGATTTTAGTCGGGGTGTTTTCGGAGTCGACCGATTATCGGTTGGACAGAGTGAGGGGTATGAGCACCAGGCCTGCAGGATAGGAAGAAGAGGGCGAGAATCTAATCGAGAGTTCTTAGAGACTAGTGGGCTGTATTCAAGCCTATACGCACATCATTGTGTACAAAATCTCCCCAGATATCAAAATCCGACGATCTCATTTTCTTATCAAAAATTGCGACTGCGGGCATCCATGGATCCATCAGGCATGTGGGGAATGATGACTCATTCCAAGGCTTCGCCCGGGCACGTGAAATTGCTGACATAAGTGTATCGCGGCCTCGGGGCCTCAGGTTCTTTCTATTTTTATATCCTTGGACTTGGCGTGGGCAATGCAGGCGATCGGCACAAGTTCATTAACGCTTGTGTCCCGCATTGCCTCATGGGGTGAGAAACTGCACAGCCACAAGGTCATCTATCTTCTCAACAATGCTCACGGTGTGCTTAATCCGTTATATGTAGGTACAAAACGGTGATCATGGAGGATAGCTCCCTCTACGAGGACTCTTTCGTCCATCAACGGGGCGCTTCTGCATTCTCCAGTCTAAAGACATCCTTTGAGCGGTTACCGCTTAATGTGATCGAGTAGTAAGTCTCTACCTAATCTGGGGGTCGGAAGCTTGTGTTTGTCCGACATGTTGCGTTACGGTCTGTCATTAACTGCAATTCTTACTGTGTTAATAGCATACTGTATGCTTCCGATGCCAATACATTCGCATCATTATCTCTGTTAAACCAAAGATGGAAACATGCGTCCGATTCCGCGGCATTGTATGCCTATCAGTTGTCAAAATGTCCATCGTTCTGCTGGGCTCGCGGGGTTATTTCAGAGGGGGAAAGCCTTACTAAACTTAGGCGCCAATTTGTCAAAGAAGTCAGACAGAACGCTTTTGATGCATTTTTACGGCCCCGAAAAACTCTAGTGCGACTAGTTTCAAGTTCTATGAGCTCTTCTACGGCATTCCCACAGGGTGAAGTATTTCGATTCTCATTTTCAGCAAATGGTCAAACGGTTCTCTGCATAAGTTCTTCTCGCATCGCCATACTAGATGTGGCCACCGACCCAGTTGTTGTCAAGCACGAGCTTAAGACACGGAGGCGGCCACTAGGAGCCACAATTCGCAATGATGGCTCTTTAATTGCTGTGCTGTCTTCTACACATCGGGTTCACATCTACCGGCTCTCTGACGACGAAGCGAAGCATATCCAAGTCATCACACTGCATGATGCTCCAAGGGACATCAAATTCTCTCCAGCAGGTAGTGTGCTGGCCTTGGCTTTTGAGGATAGCATCGAGGTATACGCTGTGGGCGAAGAGGCTTTGCCAACCGACCGTCGGGCGGTGCGTTGTCTCCGTGTCGATGCACTTTCATTTTCGCCCGATGGAGCGATGCTTCTTGGGTTTACGGCTGAGGATATCGTCACAATCACTCCTCCTTTCTATACTGAGACTGGAACCGACGCTTCGCCCGAAGAACTCGAGATGCGGATGTGGACAACACAAATCCTCTTTCCTGAATCAATCCGTTGCTGTATAACTCACGCCTCCCTTATAACTGGTCATGAGGAAGGTGATGATCATTGGGTAATGGGATATGACAAACAATTGGGAGCGTTCAGGGCGCTTCAATTGAACAATCATCCTGGAATTGTTTATTTTGCCAGTCCATTTTTCACAGATGAGTCTCGGGAAATGCGGCCAAGCATGAGACCCGCCACGGATGATGAGGGGGAACTTTCTGCTATGGGGTTCCAAGATTCAGGACTATGGATATACGGGATGCCTGGATTGGGCGCTAGTGAAATCACTGGTACCCAGATTGGTGGTGGTCATCATTATGGAGGTTGTGCGCCTCGCGACAATCTGGTACAGCTTCAGAAGATCGTTCAACAGCCCAAGATATTGATTCGGGGGCGGCGGGTGAGTGACATGCACGGTATTACTTCCGCTCATTGGGTAGGCTCAGATTCAAGGCACCGTCGGAGACTCGTCGCGGTAGCACCCGGTGGTGTGCACCCACAGGCTTTTGGTGGAGAAGATATCCCAGTTGACGGTGGTCGAATCCTTTTACTTGATTTTGAGCGCTCTACTATGAACGGTGGGACGCTTGAGCTTGATATTGAAGTCGGAGAAATGGCACCCAAGATCCTTATGGAACCCGACTCCTCTTTGGCCACAGAAGTTGAGCTTGAAAGAAGGCGAACAAGGTTACATCGAGGTGACACTGCTACAACGTTTGCAGGCCTTGGTCATTCAGCGACTACTCGAGAATCTCGAGCTCTGCCGCTTCACTTCCGCCGCAACAGTCTTGCAGTTCCTACATCGCCAAGCGAGAATTCTCGAGGCGATATACTTGACCTTCCATATGACAACACGCAGCCTCGTTCCAGTGAAGTCCTCCATCGAGCTGCCACTGCGGCTGCATCAACCCGTGGGCGATACGACCCTCGGTATCGCAATTCCCCCAACCGTCGACACATTCCTCATGAGAGCGACGCCGATAATTGGGTGCCACCACCTCCTCCTTACAAACGCGAGACAGTAGACCCCTTGCCAGATGATTTGCAGAGAATGCTTCTCTCCCCTGCCAATGTCGCCAATGCTGCTCTTCGGCCCGAATGGGAAGGATTAGCTCATGCTACGCAGCAACAAATCCGCCCACGCCCACAATCTGTCAACTTACAGACACTAGCCCCTATTACTGATGCTAGGCGCAGGGGTAATTCCATCGGCAGAGAATTCAACCCAGAACAACTGGTTCCCCAAGATTCGTTCACAAACAACTTCTCACCAGAACACCATGAATCTGCTCTACATCCAGCTACAGCGGGATCTCTAGCACATCATCACCCAGCAATCGAAACTACCACGCCTACACTTGCTGTATATCCAGCTGAACAGGCTCCTCAAGAAAACACCATGCCTCTTCCATACTTGAGGGCCTCGGCGTTGGGCGATGCACTTGGAGACGCCTACTTCCCATACTCTGTGTCATCGCCAAACCTTCTCCATATCCCGCAACCATATGAAGCTGGGCATGGAACTGCAGCAGATGATGAGCATGAGATACCTCAGAGGCAACGGTCTTTCCACAGGCGAGTTTCAACCGAACCTTCCAGCTTACCGCCACCAACAAATGAGGAGTGGCGCCGGCGCATTCAGGATTGGAACGATAACACAATTAAGGAGCGAGGTCGTAAGCGAAGGGGGAAGTGCCATATCATGTAGTTTTCTCTACCATATGTCCAATTCACTATATTCACTATATCCAGGATAACTGTCAAACTATTAGTATAATTCTTTGTTTTCAACAAAATGTCAATATGCTGTTTGCTCGTGTTGTATAAAGTACCGTATGGGACGCCATCAAGTGGCACCTTGTAGTAATATCTGACTACCATATATATTGCCTTGCGTTTGTTTCGATGACGGGAAGCAGCTCTAATCTACCGAGTCGTATCTCATTGGATATGCGCTATTCTTTTGGGCCGGCGAAGAATTGAATTGTTGCCATCATCTCAAATTCTTGAAGCACATACCATCTTCGTACTCACTGCCTCTTGATAACAGATCTCTGTGTGGAAGTTGTTTTAGGCCCATGTCGCCACTAATTTAACGAAAATAAGACCGCATGTTGTCGTTTTCTATCTGACGCAGTGTCACTCCTATATACACCGAGAGTGTTCAAAACTCCATTCTGAGCTCACCAGTTGCTAGCTCTCAGTGGCATGTTCGCTTTCTATTCTACGTCTACTATGGCTGTAGCACAGCTGCTCTTGGATGAACATTTTAAAAGACTATTAATGGTAGTGGAACAATAGTATTGAATTGATCATGGTGACAAGATAGTCAAAGGTCAACAAAGGCGACGATATGTGGGGTATCACTAACTAAAACAACAAAAAAGATCTGCCCAATTTTATGGCCGCTAGATCTGTACAAACAAAATCAAGGAGCCCACACAACGCCCAAACCATGCCATGCATGTTCATCCCTGTTTTAATATCCCCTTTTCCCATCTCCCCAGCTTCATATCCCATGATTACCAGTAGACCATGCACCAAAACCGGAGTTAAACCGGTTGAAGAAAGGAAACGATGAGAATACAGATGAATTGATGGAAGAGGTCACGGGTCCTAGAAAAGCCCTAATAGTCAGCAAATGGAAATCCAGAGTAATGACGGCACAACATACCATAATTTCCAGCTTTCTCGGGAAGAATATTGGTATTTTTTCTTTTTGTTCCTCGTTAAAGCTTTACTTTTGCTGCCCGAGGGAAATAGAAGGTGGACAGTCATTCCGGTCGGCATGTCTGTCTGAAAGAGACCTATTCCAGGGTCTGAAAGATGGAGAAGAGATGTCGAAAAAAATTGAATAACACAGAAAGTGGGTTTTCAGTCAAGGTGCAAATATTTCCTTGGTCTTCCAGAGGCTCATACAGCAGATATTTGTTTCAAGACCCATGAAAAGAAGAAGAGAAAGAAGAAGCCGGAAGAGACTCGAGGATGCTGATGAGCATGTTACTGAGCAGCTTTGTGATTTGGAAGTTTCCTCGAAGCCGCACAGAGTAAGAAAAAGCATTGATGACGTTTCTTCGTCCAGTATTGCTGTGCCCGGCAAGCCTTGGGAGGAAATCAAGCTGATTGAATCGGAGTTAAAGTAGTGATCGACTCATGATCATTGTTGATATGCAGTGCAAGCATGATTGAAGTCGAAGTTCCGATTTGTAGTCATGGCGTTCTTTATCCAGCGGAGGCTTGTCTTATGTTCCAGTGGAGAACAGCTGAATTCGATTTATTTGGTAGATGTGTGGTAATCGAATTCTCCTCCAACTGAAACCATCCCGTCGAGTTTGCCAATTTCGTACTGGGTTTCTTGACGTAAAAGATAGAGGATCTCCGATGCAAAGAATTGGAGATTTTGTCCAGTCAGGCCCTCCCCCAGAGGCCTTTTTGAATAACTGACGTTTTTTTGATGTCACTTGAATGTTTGACCGTGGTCGGTGCCGAAAAAACAGAGATCAAATGGGCACATTCCGGAGCCAAGACGACAAAAAAGAGACAAACGCGGCATCGGACTAGAACGTCGCAAGAGAGATTTTTCACTTCTGGCGAGAGTGAGAAGTCAGAGTAAAGTGAGGGCAAAGTGAGAGCAGAGCTTTTTTTTGACGATTTTCTGCTATCATGATTGTCTGCCATCACTTCTCTCTCTTGTCGTATTCTTTTTTTTTTTTTTTTTTTTTTTTTTTTTTTTGTGCCTAGAGTAAGATTGTTAGTGCTGGTGTCTTAAGAGGGGCTCGGGGTTGACTTACATATTGGTCAGTCAACTCAATCTCCAAGCCCAACCCCCAGCGAAAAGCTTCCGAAGACGCTTGACGCGGCCCCAACACAGCGTTGTATCGGCAAACAAAAGTGCTGCGGGACAGCCGAGAAGGACCTACCAACCCTCCGAAAAGAGGAGTTCCTTCAAGGTGTCCCACTCACACTTTCGTTGCTGATACATGCCCCACCGCCATCGAAGCGTCTAGGCACGATGCTGTCGACGACGACGGTGGCGGGACCGCTGGGGAAGAGCGTTGTCATCGGGCGAAGTCGTACCACAGTCCGTAGGAGGATCAATGCCCACATTTGCGAACAAGGGAGCCGGAGAAAGAGGACCACTCTGCGAATCACCCTGCTCCGCCAGACAACCAGGAACAAAAACCGGAGCCACAGCCGACAAAGGCGTCGAGCTCGAAGGCATCGCAAGAGAAGCATTGGAAGCGTAAGAGGCTAAAACATTAGAATGTTGAAGTTCCTTCTTTTCCTGTTGTGCTCTCTTTGCAAGGCGACGTCTCTTTGCTTGCGACGGACGGTTTTTCCTTTTGAAGTACGCCGGGGTGGAATCAGGACGCTCATCTTCCGCAACGTTTCCAATCGGACCCTCGGCAGGGGCCAGAGAGTCTTCATGGTCGGGGACGTAGAGATCAGTCGAGTTCCAAGGGTGCCGAGAGACCAAGTTCGTGCGAGCGTCATCCGTAGTGCTAGCCGGCTCGGTGGTATTGCACGCCGATTCTGGGTCCAGTGGCTGCGCATCTCCCAGGCTTTTGGTGATCCGGTGAATCCAGATACCTCCAGACTGAGAGAGAACCGACACATGAGACACAGACTCGGGACAATTGTCTGCAGCCATGACCCAAGAAAGAATTTCTTCGTCCGTTTCCGTTGGGCCAGCGATCAGAAGATCCATCTTCTTGTCAAAAGAAGATGAATCCCCCTCACCCACAAATTGCACACGTGCAATCTGTGGTTGGCCCTCGAGAACTTTCAGAATCCACTCGATCAAGGTATCAAGCCCGGAGAACAATTGCCGTGAGTAAGCAATCAAGGCCCAGGGGACTTGGACAAAACACCAAATGCCGATGAACAACAACGTCGCAATGAAGCCTTGCCCAGGCTTTGGTCTAGGCGAGTAGAAGTCGACAAGTTTCTTGGGATCAGAAACTGTCACTCGGTCACCTGTCCAAAGCGAGACTGGGATGGGTACCAGGAACGGGGTTGGAAACCAGGGGGGCATATCATCGACCAGTCCAGGCTGGACGATGACATCCGTACCAAGGTTTAGAACCAGAAAGTCCGTGGAGTTTGCGTACCCATGGCCAACGTAAGAATGCGACTCCCATAGGGGATGCTCGCGCTGGGAAGCGTGCCCGCGCCCGGAGGCGGCAGCGTTCACCAGGTCACAGAAGGCCCAAGACTCCATCGTCAGCTGGAAAGTACCAGACAGACGCCGCATGAACGACTGCTCTGGAGCAGTGAACCCTGGGAGGGGAAACCACTGACTCCAGAGAGTCATGCCCACGAAGATTCCCAAGAAGGGGATCAACATGTTTTTTTTTATTGTTTTTTTTTCTGTACAGGAAGAAAATAAAGGTATTAGCACGTGGGTCAATACGAGCCAAGCTTTTGATAAAAGGGGGGCTTGGTTTAGGACTATTACTTTTTTTTGAAATGAAAATGAAAAAAACAAACGCCGGCGAGGCCGGGGACGCGGGGGGAGCAGGAAGGATCACAGCGCAGGAGGCGCTGTTGAGAACTATGTTGGTAACTTGAGAGAGAGGAGAGAGAGAGAAGAAAGAAAGAGAAAAGTGAGGGGAGAAGAGAATATATAGGAGACCCTGTGTCCCAAAACGGAAGGTATACAAATGGAAGGAACGATGGGCAAATTATGTCTCAAGCATTGAACTTAAGGCAGGTGCGACTGTCAAATAGCTATTGTTCTTTACTATTGAGTCCATTGAGCATTCAATCTACAATGGCACAGCCTTCTGAAAAGGGACCAAACGACTATTCAGCCTTAACCTTGGTAAACAGACCAAGAACCCACTACACAGTTTTAATACTTGGCTTTGCATACGACAGCTGAGATTTCTGTGTTGTAGGACTTACAATGAATGACTTGAATTCTGTACCCTTAAGTTCGCACTAGAGAGCGTCTAATAGATACATGGGATATAAGACATGAGTCTGACCACATGCATTGTACACAGCTGTAGTCTTTCTAGTCAAATTTCAGACGTTTAGAGGCAGATATCGCATGGTTCTGGGATTCTGTACTTGGTACATTGTTAGAAATGGGAAGTTTTCTCAAATTCTCTGTTCTATGCCGTAGGCAACCCAACACACTTGGGTGCTTGGCTGTCTAACTTCTCTCTCAGTTCATAAGGCATTCCGGTTTCCAGCCAGATTTAATGGCAGCTACCTTTTACCTCGTCTGGAGGATATACTGGAATGGCAGCTTCTTTCCCGTCGAAATGGTCATTGCATTGATGTGTCTCCGCGGGAATTGACACTGTCATCCCGGATAAGAATACCGGGCTCATTGGGAGCATACACAGTTACTCATCGGGGCAACCACGCAGCGCTTTGCAGTGGCCGGTACATCAACATTCCAGTTATCAAGGTCGTCTATAGCTGCCTCCAGGTTGTGACGCATGTCAGGGACGCTCACACCCCGATACCCCATGATGCCAGCCCCAGCTTTCTGTTTCCATCGTGTTCCCAATCGATTACCAAACCAAAAACCCCTGTTCCTAGTTCAGAAATCCGATCACGATAGCCGAGGCGGAAATTTTACACGTCTGATTGGTGGGTGAAACAATCCTCCTTAGGGTCTCCGGGCCCATCCATGTCAGGCGAGCACTTGGTAAGATGGGTTGGGCTTCAGCCTTGGGACCGACGAGCTCTTCATCCGACATGACACTGAAGTCCAAATTCCTGGACTCACGGAGGAGTCTACTATGAGCTTTGCAGCTCGTCGTATCAATGACGAAACCTGTAGGCAGCACATCCTGATTCAACAGCATGCGAAACCGACATCCACAACCTCGACCGAGATGATGCCTTCCTTTGCGATACAGGCTAGAGAAGCTAGGTAATAGTGAAGCCCCATGAGCTACCCTGAGTCAAAGGGGGAAAGGAGTCAGCTGTGTTAAATAAGAAGCTACAACATGTAGTCAACCTCTCCGTATCAAGTACTGTTCTAAGCCGGATAAGACAAAGCCTAGAATGATACGTCCCAAATAAGTTTGTCAAAATTGCACAATCACCCTATATGACGATGAGCCAGCCTCTGGGGTCTCTGTAATATTCCCAAACTATTCATATTGTGAACTTGACCCCCAGTCAGACCATCATCGGATCAAAGCAATTATCCACTCCTCTAGTACGGGACAGCATCTCTTGGACGACCCTAATATTCCCTTTGTGGGCCCAAAAAGAAACCTACAGTGCATCGATGGCATTCGGCTCTCGGGATAATCTGGTTCCATCGCAACGATGCGTATCTTGGGAAGTATTCGGAGTGTCAAAATTCAAAGGCTGACAGCGGCGGTGTTGACCGTCTCCCTCCCCAAGGCAAGCCGCGGAATGAGGTCTCTTTCTTCTGCATACTGGGTATTGTCTTCTAATTGCAATAACCGGTTCCCAATGAACACAACAAATCAGTGTCACAGTTGGTATTTTCTGTCCTGTATATGAGGGTGGCGATGGGAAGCTCAACAGTGTTGACCCTCTCCAGTGTTGACCCTCTCCAGTAAGCTAACATGAACCTCAATTAGTTCAACAATGAGCTGGTCATTATCTGTATATATGACGATATCGGGTGAAGGTACAATATTTTGGAGAATCATGAATGCCTCGACGGTATCATAGTCGATAAATTCATATAAGAAATACCCCTCGACTAAGATGACTTGATGAAAAGAGCTATTTCAGACTGCTCTCATACCTCCTGATATTCTTTGTGTATACGTCAAACTATTCTTTAGCTCTTTCGGTCTTGTGTGTTGGCTAATTTCTAAGCCCATTGATCTATGTCATGTTTCTTTACACAATGGCCTTGTTGTACTCTTTGTCTTTCCCTTATTCCTATGTTTAGCTGGCTAATACTAGTATTTAAGCATGCTTATTGCACTACATCATTTAAGCCAAAGGCAACACGGCATTGCGCAATTAAAAGTACCAACAAGCTCTCAATAGAATATACCTGCCAAGTAAGCAATTTAGATATTCTCCCCGCCTCAGTTGGCTTGGTGATCTTAGAACCAACCTCATCGCAATGGCTCCCAAGTACCCCAGGTTTGAGCCACAGGGGGATAGTTTACGACGATGGATGGAGCGTACCGATGAGCCCGGGTGCCCCATTTCTAAGACTACGCTTACAATCTCAAACATGGATCATGGCCTCTGGTATGTCCTTTCCAACCCAGAGTTCCTTACAGACAATTGGAAGCCGTGGGCTGATATGTTTGGCCTCACAGTTGATGATCCAGAAATTACCCAGGAACCTGTTTATCGATTTCAATCGGTTCTGAAAACCAAGGGCGAGCCTACATTTTGGATTGGGCGAACTGGACCAGGTGTGATATTCATTGATAATATCAGGAGAGCACAGGACCCCGCGAATTTCTACATGTCCGAATTTGCTAAGGCTTTCTATGAGTCGCATTTCCCCTTGGAAAGCCTGAAGTATGTTTTTGTTACCACTGTTATTCAAGAGGAAACCGTGCCCTTTCTTCGGGATCATATTTACCAGTCCCGGGAGGGGCTTGGGTTTCCGCCCAAGGAGCCGCAAACTTGGGAGTCGCCTTCGCCGGAATTTTGCGGTATTCTGGGTACTCCCATTGGTAAAGTTATCGCAGCCCTTGTCTTGTGTGCATATGGTCAGGGTGTCAAGCGGATTCAACGCATTGTGACATTTCATACCGGCGAAGACCGGTGGGAATATAACCTTCGATTTGATATTGAAGATGTCAGCATCACTCATTAGGTATTACTAGAATTGTTATTAGTGTATTTTCACCCAATTTTCTACATGTAGTAGTTATAACATGAACAAATCTTGAGGATCCCAAGTCAAACTGACCCTTTGTAATCCAACGTAGTTTTTATTCTATGATTTACCGAGGTAGACATCGCATAGGATCAAGAGAACGAAACAGACTTGAGCGTACCTATTCAAGTATAGACATGAGATGATACCTCGGAATGACCGCACTTTCGAACTGGTGATTACTGTGCCCATAACCCTTTTTCTCTGTGATCCTCGGTACCTCTCTACCCTTGGCTCTCTACCCTTGGCTGCTGCCTACTGGTCTTTGTTCCGTTTCCTTTGATGGCGCTGTTCTTTTTTTTCCTCTTTCTTTTTCTTTTTCTGCTCTTGTAACTGAATTATACTGAAGTTGTTTCTTCGGGATATCTGGGCACCTATGGTTGAATGTGCCAAGGTGCATATTCAGTCTGGATGACAAGCTTTTGAACTAAACCCATCGAGCTGATAGCAAAGCCGCGTCAGCTATTTTTGGAGTTTCATCAAATGTGACACAACGTTGTAATGATTGTAATGATTGGCCAAGAGTGTAGAGACATTGAATGTATTAAGAACATGGCCAATGGGGGCGGTCGGGGCCGTTCCACGTATAGAGACAACACATCAGATGCACATCCCGAGCATTCGACATCTGTTAAGGTTTTTGTTTTACTTCTCTTTTGTGTTCCCCCTTCTCTCTTCGTCTATCTCACTTCATCTCAGTGTCCGCCCATCTAGTATCGCGAAGCACAGTTCCCAGATTGCGGAGGCTCTCTCCACCATGCACTGACCCACCTCTTACAATTCAAACTGTCTTCGCAACTGCAATTCCTCAGTATTAAGCTTTTTGATTCCCTCTATTCCCAATGGGGCTCTCCAACGCAGCCATCATTGTCATCGTTCTCGTCGCTTGTCTCGCAGTGACTGCATTGGGAGCATCGCTCTTCAAACACTACAAACCTGCCGATGGAGAGACCCCGTTCAGTCCGGGCTACGAGCAGAAGCTCTACATGGCCGAAGTGCGAGCTCGAGGGTTTGACAGCCTGAGACGGATATCCTGGGGAAGAGATCTGGAGTCACGTTGTATGTGCTTGGTGATTTCTTGATCTGGTAATCTCGCTGACTTCTATTGTTGATTAGATCCTCCAGCGGGGCCGGGCTACTATCGCCCCCACACTTACACCGAAGACACCACGAGAGACACAGGGAGCTCATAACTTCTCTTCTACTTTTTGACATTGACGAATGACATGGATATTTGCCGGAATGAACACGGGTGTTACACATGGGGGAGACTGGCGTTACACGGATTACAGCGAGTTATAGCATGGGTTCTTCTCAGGGAAAAAAAAGCACTGAGAAGTGAATGGCCGCACCTGGTTTCAAAAGACCGAGGATATGTTCTGAACTATCCTTATCCGGTCGGCCATGGTGGTTTTTACAATCTGCTGTCTTGAAATTGAGACTTTTTATGGTATTGGGGTGGCCCTGTGTCTGCGCGCAACTCATCTCGAAATTATGCGCTTACGGTTGATTTGCTTACATTTGTACCTGATAATCTCATTAGTATTGCTCTCGTGGAATCTGTGAAATGAAAATGAATAAATTGTCCACAGATGTGATCTGGAGATAGCTCCGAGCTTCAGCTAATGACGTCAAGACTCCCCCGAACCTATATACCCTCATAATTCATCGAAGGCAGCTTCAGGTCAGTTATTCGCTCCAATTCGGGGTAAATCACACAAAGCGACACATGTCAGATCAGGGAGGCCTCCCTCCACCGGTGGGTCCGCTGTCTCGCGCCCTGTGGAATTTCTCATCGCTGTGGTTCATCGTTCCTCAAGGAACGGGTATAATAGCCGTGATCCTTTACCGACTGAGATACCAATTCAATGGGCTCAAAACCCTCGCCACGATCGTATGGATCTACACTATCGTCCAGCTCGGTCTGTTCCTCATCCTCTACCTCTTACGCATATTTCTACACCCAAAACATGTCCTACAACAGCTGCGGAACAAAACCATCGAAACATCCTGCCTCTGCTGCATCTCCATCGCCTTCACCTCCATCCTCCAAATGGCCGCTTTCAAATACGGAGACACAGCCGGGCTGGCCATTTACATTCTCTGGTGGGTAAACACCGGCATGGCCGTACTCGCCTGTTTGGTAATCCCATTCGTCCATCTCAAGATGCAGCAGTCGGCCAAGCGACACATGCAGGCTGACACATTGATGCCATTCCTTGCGGCGTTAACGTCTGCCGCAGGTGGCGGGGTTATATGTCGCGTCATGCGTATCAGCCCCCGTCTCCAGGTCCCTGCTATCATCATCTCCTACCTTGAACTTGGGGTTGGTCTTGCTCTTGTTGCTGCGTTCGATACCATTATACTCGCTCAGTACTTCGGTCGCAAATTCCAGACAACGGACATGGTGTATCAGGATATGATCATGTGTGGTCCTTGCGGACAGGCTTCGGTTGCGTTCCAGGCCTTGGGCGAGGCTGTTCAGGCCGGTAGCTTTGCGGCGTATGATCGCGGTCAGCTGCTAACTGCGAAGGCGGCCGATCCCTTTGCTTTCATCAGCCATTTTATGGGTCTTCTTATCTGGGGATATGGTATCTTTTGGTGGTTCTTTGCTATCCTGAGTATATGTTATACCCTCCACACACAACCTGGGGGTTGGAAGAAGTCACGGTTCACCATGTCTGTGTGGTCTGTGGTTTTCCCGTGGGTGCGTATCCTAGTTTCTTTGGTTTTCTGAAGGATTCTGCTAACAACGCTTTGATTTCTCCAGGGTACCTTCACCAATGCTGCCGTTGAGTTTGGGAAGCTTATGGATTCTCCCGCATTTGATGTGTTTTCCACTGCCCTTTTGCTGCTCCTTGTAATCATGTGGATAGTCATACAGATCTTGACATTGAAGGGGATAGTGACAGGGCGAGTATTCGGCCTAGATCACGGATGGAGAAAACGATATGACGACCGACGGCCTGCGGTCATCAAAGAAGCGTAACCCTTAAATATTCCCAATGAATCCGATTGGCTTCAAAAACCTCGCAATATCATCAAGCAATATCGGCAGGATGCATGTTCTTCGATCACAAGGCACGGGTGTGCATCATGATATCTACCGCTATTCATAACTTCCGGAATCGGCCTTCCCGAGGTCCGAGCCTCCGCTGACATCATCGGCAGCTTGCCCAGGTGGTCCAGCCCTGCCCAGACATTCGGAGGAACTTTGGACCGCCAGTCCGACTTTCAGGGCTACAAGTGTCTTTGATGATTACTTTGTGATAACCACGTCTCGGGACTTTGACCGAGACTTGGTCATTTTTTGTGAGGTAATTTACCTCCGGGCGGGATTTCATCATATGGGGGTGGCTATGAGTACTTCCAAGGCTGCTTCTGAGGTGAGGCTGTGAATTGACCCCAATCGGGCGCACGGCTCGGAAAACCCAGGCACCGAACATAAAAACGGCGATCCACAAATTCTATGCATACTTTAATGTACTTATAGAGTATAGAGTACATAGTGGATAAAGATCGGTTGTGTGAATATCACTTTCATGGCTTTGAAACAAGGAATTGATGATGCCTAAGCTTAAGATTTTCAAGGTTAGAAAATTATAAATAAAGGCATGTAAGAACTTTATAATAAGTGTCCAATGTCCCAGGCAGCCGAGATATTTGTCTCTACTACACCAAGAGTGCCCGTATTCGTACTAGTTTTAGTTTGCAGATTTGCTGGACCCAGTTGCCCTGGTTCGTGCACGTTTATACGAGTACGGCCGTAGGGCCAAGGCTGACTAGCTATTTATTATAAACCTTTGAGACTTTTTAGCTCTTAGCTCTTGGCTCTCAGCCTTTCATCTTTTTGTTTCTGGGTTTATCTTGACCCTTCAAATCTGGAGACGTGTCAATGCGTATGACTTCGCCATGGAATCCCCAGACAGTATGCCAAACTATGACAGCGACACAGCAAGCGAAGAACGGTATGTAGATACTCCCGCAAAAAAATAGGGCATACCAAATCTGTCATTCTACCGAGAATGATGTCTAATTCGTCCCTAGACCATCGTCTCAAAGCGCCAATACCAAAATCCAGGCCAACTTCCAGATGGCTCAGCCGCCCCCAAAATCAAGTCAACTATTCCGACTCAGCCCCAAACTACTGCTTCAAATCCAACAACTATCTCCAAACCATCGAAAAGTGCCTGTACTGGAGATATGGCAGCCATCACTCCGCAAATCAAAGTTGACAAAATGTTTCCCTCAACGCCCAAAGCTCGGCACAAAGGATATCTACGCAACACTTAATGAGCCATATATCACCAATCAACAGCAGCAGCGACAAGGGCAGCTTCAAGAGCAAGATACAAAATCAAGCAGCACCCAAGACATCCAAGACAGAGATATCGTGGCTGCAATGTGCCAACTGCAAACCAACAACAACAGCAAATCCATGCCATCAATCCACTTCCGCGCCTCAAAATGCATCTGGCAAGCCAGTACCACCTCAGCAGGACCTGAGAAAAGCATTTGTTACAGATTTGTCATTATTCGGGAAGAAACGACAGCCGCCCCCGAGCAGGGCCGGATGATTATGCAGTGGGAGAAACGGGCAGTCTCTGCAAATGGAAATGGGGCATCTGGGTGTCCAGATAGCGAACACTTTGTTCTTTTGGCGATTGACCGCAAGGCACGCCGGAAGAGTCGTATTGCTACAATGACTCCAGGCGGACTCGAGATTACCGTGAGGAAGAGTTCGATCTTGGATCATCTTCGGACTTGTTGGGCGTTCACGGAGCCTGTTTCTGATAATTCTGCGGACTTGGAGACTTGGTTGTATACTCTTGTGTTGACGTTGGGTGTCTCGGTGGCTTCGCAAGAAGGGTGGTTGGGTTGATTGTTTTTAATGGCTTAGGCAAAAATCCATCTACTGTGAACAGTCTCTACATTGTACATCAAAATTGATGGATATGCAGTTTTAAGTTGCTTTACTACGGATGTGATAGCACCGGTGCTATGGGGATTTATATTGTATTCGCTATCGCATTGCGGCCATAAACGGGCAGGTATTTGTGGACTACTACGATTCAAAGACTGAAAGGATGAGGAGAGATGAAAGAAGGAAGGGACAGAGAAGAGCCCAAAACGGAGGGGGGTGGCGGTTAGACTCGCAGATGGAGACGCGCCTGCCCAATCCATATAAATACATATAGGGTATCTACACATAGTGCGGAAGGATTGTTCTGCTCAAATTCTGGCTAGAAGTAGCTACCAAGTAGTCAACCCCTCTTCGATCGCTTTGATCTGCAGTGCGAGCAGACGCGAGTAGTATCTACTAAGAGCAAGGTTCCCGCCCATGAACCAGAATCCAGGGTGACCACTCCGCCGCCAGATAGTCCGCATCTCGCCTTCCTTGTCAAGTCCCCAGATATCGTTGACGCGGTCAGCGACCTTGTCACCAAAGATCACACGAGTCTCGGTTCTCATGTTCTGATATCCAGTGGCGAACACAATCTCATCGGCTTCAAGCTCTGAACCATCCTCAAATCGGAGGCCATGGGGAAGAACTTGGCTGATTTCCTGGCCATGCTTCACCTTGACCTTCCCGTCGATGATGAGCTGGCTTCCACCGACGTCAATGTAGTACCCACCTCCGCGCTGGAAGTACTTCATCAAGAGACCGCTGTCCGAGGGGCCCTGGTCGACCTTAAAGCCTGCCTTTTCCAGCCCTTCAATGGTCTTTGTGTCATTCTGAGCTATAAGCTTAGTGACTTTGATCTGTTGCGCTTTGAATAAACGTGATGGAATACTCCACAGATAAAGATCGGCGTCTTCAGTTGGCGGGCCGGTCCCATCATAGAGCCCTTTAAAGCCAATTTTCAAGGTAGACGCGGACGATACTACATAGGTGGAGCTTCGCTGCACCATGGTCACGTCGTAGCCTTTCTCGACAAAGTCCTGCGCGATGTCGTTTGCCGAGTTGCAAGATCCCACGACAATTGCCTTCTTTCCTTTTGACTCGAAATTTGCGCCAGGATGCTCTGAGCTGTGGCACAGGCGATCTCCCTTGAAATCCTCCATACCTTTGAAAACGGGCATATTCTTCTTGCCGGAGTGGCCAGTAGCTTGGATGATGTGGCGTGGGTGCAAGGTGCGTGTCTCAGTTCCCTTGTCTGTCTTGCGCTCGAGAACAACCGTCCATTGCTTCTTGCTCTCATCCCAGGATGACGACTTGATCTCGGTTTGGGTCCAAACATTGAGCTCTCGGAACTTCACGTAGGTTTCGAAGAAATCCGCCAGCTTATCTTTTGGTGTATAGATCGGCCAGTCAGACGGGAAGGGTAGGTATGGCATGTGATCGTACCACACTGGGTCGTGGAGAACAAGCTGGTGGTATCGTTGACGCCAATTGTCTCCAACTCTCTCTTCGCGGTCGATGACAAGGGTGTCAACCTTGAGCATCTTGAGGCGCGCGGCGGCAGTCAAGCCACCCTGGCCAGCACCTTTATTCCCCTGGTCAGATTCATATCTCTAGAGAAAAGCGTTTCATCGGCACTTACCAATTATCAATACCGCCGGTTCTTTTCCCTCGAAATTGATCTCATCGGTACGCCGATCTTTCCAGTTCTTTCGACCTTTCTGCTCGCCATGTCGTACCCCGAAAGGCCTCTCCGTATCTTCTTCATGACCCTTCACCGCAACCAACGAACTGAACACAGTGAAAATGTACCACTTGCCATCCTGTTCCGCCAATCGCATGATACCATTCCCCACTCCATTCTCTGTGGTGATCTTGATGGAAAATTCAATTCCGAAAACATCACCAAAGGAATCAATGGGTGCCTTGTGCGGGGATTTGGTGTCAGACGATCGGTCAATTTCGATTTTGCTGGATGGTGCCTCAGTGACAAAGGCAGCGATGGATTGGCTCCCCTCGAGGGTGCGGAAGTCCCACGAATAGCACAGGTGGTCACGCCAGAAGCAATTATCGAGAAAGAGTGCTGCAACAGCTGCCTGATCTCTGGCTGAGAGACCCGAGTTTAGCTGGTTGACTATGTTGTCTGCAATAGCGTTTGGGTCTAAGGGAAGATCCGACTCAGATTCGGACATGGTCTTAGGGAATTGACCAGGTACGATGTTACAGGAACCTGGCACAACTCGCTCTCGCGAGGGAGGTAGATCATTGGAAGTTTCCATGTTGATTTGGATGATTTGAGTTGCAGATGGGAATATTGAGAACACAAAGTACAGAGGTGCAATGCAATAACCCCTCAGTTGTGATTTCGTAATCCTGCAGACACGGAAACTGCCAGATCACATTATAACGTCCGCATCCTCCGTATCTCCGGATGAGCCTTGGAGAATCCACAACTACCAACTCATATAGAACGCGGGGTATGCGGGGACCTTCTCGGCCGAGTTGTATGTCAATTGCCGTCTTCATACCCTAACAGGAACATCTCACTTCGATTGTCCCTTTTAGGTAGACTTGGCTGTACATCTAGATTCTTGGTCCATGCTAGTGTGTGGTTGACGTCAATTTTTCTCTGTGAAGAAAAATGTTCACTAGTGTGCAACTACCATGTGGTGCAACAGCCGCCGGTGTGCAGATATATATTTGTTTCACACCGAGCTATGTACATAGTTGCCTAACAGGCAATGCCATATATAACCAATATATTCTCTACTCATCAATTGGATTGCAAAGAAACCAATGAGGCTTTTATTTCTACTGCCTGTTGGTTCTCCAAGTCTTCCAGTATGGGTTATTGTTAGTTTGCTGGGAATTTAAAAATCTGTTAACATATTGCATAATAATGGGCTCTCTTACATCAACTAGCATCATTGGTCTAGTGGTAGAATTCGTCGTTGCCATCGACGAGGCCCGTGTTCGATTCACGGATGATGCACAACAATTTCTTTTTTATTTTTTTTTTCCCTTCACATCTTCAGCCAATTGTACATGTATGCAGGCTTTTAATTCTGTATTGGCCTTTTTTTTGCATGGAAGCATCAGAAGTCCGACCAGTTCATTATTCCACTCTGATCCAATTAAGCTAAACGGTAGCATCCTGTTGCGTGAGCTTTCCCGCTGATGATCTGACCCTGGGGCCCTATTGAGGGAGCTTTGCCACCTAGAATCTCCCTAGTTCTTTTGATAAATCAGTTTGAAAATTTCAGTCTCTGATTTGTGCTTGTTACTCCCCGCTCTGTGAGGGAATGAATAGGTACATCCCAAAAACTTGTAAAGTTTCTCATACATGACAGTGATGAGATCTACAGATGTCGACGAGAGGATGGTTGATCCATAGAAGTGATATTGCTATCTGATATACATAATTACATCTTCAAATCCTCTTTAAGCATAGATCTAATCTGTATCATCCCCCATGACCCAATGTGGGTATACTTGCCAGTTGACCCAAAGTAGCATAAACCCTTGTCAAATACGAAGAAGATGCTGAAAGATGTACTGCATAACCCTCGAGTAGCATATGGCGAGAGAAAGACGTTGTTTGCCTCGGTCGTTACGAATTTACAGTACTTTGACTATACCCAACAGCGAGTTGCAGCCTCTTTACATTTGGAGTACCCTACCTCCCTGCCTACCTAGGTAGCTCCGTGGGTTGCAAAACATGGCTTCACAGAATATAGTATTTTGATGTATTTACCCCAGGGATTGTGCGTTGATATTCTTATTGGGGAAGCTGTTTGGGAAGGAACCTTTGGATGTGTTTTGAGGAAGCGTGAGGAAGAAGCCTCGAAACACTTTGAATAAGACTTGAGATGAAAACCACTCTCCATTGTCGAGAATGATCATTCTGAGATGGGAAACTGTTAGTCCAAGGCTTCCAGCAGGATTATTGGAGCTTGATGTCTAATATATCGCAGCGAAAATCGGACCCATTTAAACGTCATGTTAGGCCCTGAGCCTTAGGCCTGATAAGATTTCCATTTTGATTTATAGTAATACTTTCCCGCGGAGTAGAGATCAAGTATTTGAAGATAAGACGGGGTTAGAGTGGTATCTTCGTTTTAATTGGCATGAGCATAATTAAAGCCCAAGGAATCCGGAGACAACTCTATACCCGGCAGTTCATGCACCCCAGGAGGACAAAGCGTATACAATTCTGCGACTTGGAAATAGGCCTAGAAGATCAGGTTATTATCGAACGCTCAGTTCAATTTGAATTCTTCTATTTCGCCCTTGGGAAATTCGACGAACACGCCTCGAGACCTGAGTTACCACCTTCGAACTCCGGGGAAGTTTTGTGGAACTCTGTGTCTCCCTCTCTACGCCTTCACTAAGTGATTCTGTCGTTTACAAATGCTGATCATCCTCACAGCATCAAATATTCCGGTGGTATTATAACCTGAAGTCATCATGAGCCGGGCACAGCGTCGGGTCCTAGGCGCTTTCCTCGGGGCTTTCCTATTGCTCCTGCTTTACCACTATTATCGCACAGACGACAACAGGCTTCTCTCAACCTCTCCATATGACGCATCTAAAGTCACCCTGAATGTTGCAATTAACCCGAAATATCTATGGAGAAAGCTGCCGGTACGATACCCAGTTGCTGAATTCCAGCCATTGCCTGTCTTTGGACCGCCCCAGGCACTATCCAAGGTCCAATCGACAGATTTCGAAGTGTCCCATCTCAAGTTCGACCGCAAAACTAGCAGACAGTCGGCCACAAAAAAGCATTTGAAAGATGTTGGAAGTCATACCAGTCACTTGCTTGGGGTGCAGATGAGCTTGCGCCTCTCAGTGGTAGCCCTGAAGATATGTTGGGGGGTTGGGGTGCTACGTTACTTGACAACCTCGACACACTGTGGATTATGGGAATGCAGGATGAGTTCAAGAAGGCGGTGGCTTCCGTCACGCACATCAAGTTTGGAAATACACAGTCCTCCGAAGTTAATACCCATGATCTCAACATCCATTTACTCGGAGGCCTGCTGGCGGCATTTGATCTCAGCGGTGATTGGAAATTACTGGAAAAGTCCATTGAGCTGGGCGATATGCTTTACGCCGCCTTTGATACCCCGAACAGAATACCTATCATACATTGGAACCCACATAGAGCTATCTGTCACGAGGAGCAGCTCGCAGAGGAAAATGTCCTCGGTGCAGAATTAGGCTCATTCGCATTGGAATTCACAAGGCTATCTCAGATCACCGGTGACCCAAAATATTTCGACGCGGCCCATAGAGTCATGAAATTGTTTGACAGACAGCAGGGCGCCACCAAACTCGCAGGTCTCTGGCCAGTCTCTGTGAATGCTAGAGAAGAGCTTTTCGACGACAATGTCTTCACACTGGGCGCTGAAGCAAGCTCTCTGTACAAGTCGCTGCCTGGGGTGTACGCTTTGTTAGGAGGCCAAATACCCATGTATCGCAAGATGTATGAAGATGCCACGCTCACCGCTGTGGTCCACAATTTATTCCGACCAATGAATCCCCAGGGCAAGGATATGCTTCTCCCTGGATCTGTTCGAGTAACCATGACAGAAAATGGGAATTCGCAAAGACACCTGGAGGCGAAAATGCAGTACCGATCTTGTTTCGCAGGAGGTATGTTTGCACTAGGAGGTGCGCTACTCGATATTCCCACCCACCAAGAAATTTCCCACAAGTTGGTCGATGGATGCATATGGGCTCACCAGGTGATACCATTGGGGATTATGCCTGAAGCGTTTGATGTGGTTCCCTGTGCGTCTCCGATAAGTTGCCCATGGAGCGAGCGGCTCTGGAAGCAAGAGGTCTGGAAGGAGGCGAACAGCCTCGAGCCAGAGCCAAATCCAAATCTCAACGTCGATACATTCATTAAGGACCACCGTCTGCCCAAAGGGATCATCGGAATCCCGGATGCTGCTTATGAATTGCGTCCGGAAGCAGTCGAGAGTATGTTCACTCTTTACCGTATTAGTGGCCGTGAAGATCTGCTTGATGCAGCTTGGGATATGTTCCGGGCAATGCAAAATGCGACACAGACCAAGAATGGCAACGCGGCCATCGTTGCTGTCACGGACGAGGGCAGTGAACTGACCCTTAAAGACTCGATGGACAGCATGTGGATGTCGCAGACCCTAAAGTATCTTTATCTCATGTTTAGCTCTCTAGACTTCATCAGTTTGGATGAGTTTGTTTTCAATGCTGGAGGACACCCGCTGAAACGATCTCAGGCGGCATGACAAGGGCGGTTCAAGGAAGCGCATTTGCTTTGTACCACCATCGCCGTTTTCCTTTTTGAAATTTTCGGCTCTTCGACTTGAGCTGTTGATCATAATTGTACATAGTGTTCTATTGTGCCTGAAACGAGGCGTTATGGTTGGCTGAAGCCACCCCAAATTCCTTATCCCTTTAAACAATGAAATCGGCCGAAAATACAGAGTACTTTACCAGCTTCTTGATATTAGACTCTCTACTTACTTTTATAACCTATTTCAATATAATGACAATGGTCAGAACAATCGGATAAAGGGTCCTCGTGATTCAGGCACCCAGGCATCTAATCCCCCTCTGAAAAGGGGGTTTGGGCGCTGATAGCTTTCAAGTCTTCGCATTATGGGATGAACACATTCTGGTAGAGCTGAAACTGCACATAATTCCTCTAGATTTTCAGCCTGCTGTACCTGACAAAGATGTGGCGCAAGTAGGACTCTTCTGTGCTAGTTCAATTAACTAGGAGCCTAGCGTGGGGTGAGGCATAGTGGCACACTGTGACGCATGTTGACTCATGAATCCGAGAAGATAAAATGGATGAGACTACTCTACGTACAACAGGCACCAAACGTATTTTACGTGCACATACAACATGTCCATCATCGAGTCCACAAGGCTGCGACCAGCCCACCAACAAACACCGACATCAACCCCATTATCCATCCTCGACGCGACGGTCGCGCGCTTCTCTCCAACAGGAGCAATTTGGATTTTCGATCAATCTACAGACTTGGATGAGACTACGCTGATCGATAATCTACGAACCTCTTTCACTGAAACTCTATCAAAATTCCCCCAATGGGCAGGCCAACTCCAATGGGCACCCGTCAACCCCAAAGGAAACCACACGGAGCGATTTAATCGTCCAATGATTGTCTACGGGACTGATAGTGACCCAGGCGTTGAATGGACAGTAATTAACCATCCCCTCCGAACAGATGAAATTGTCCCCACAGCAGAGGAACGCGCTTCATCAACCACCGGTTCTCAACCGGGAGCATGGGCAGGCGATGACTTCAAACAAAGTCTCTTCATATCATCCAACCCACTGGCATTAGCCAATCTGCGCGACTATGACGGTCTGCCCGGGATGCAAGTCCAAATCAGTCTTCTCCAGGAAGGAGGCTACGCCATCGGAATCAAGCTCGCGCACTGTCTAGCGGACGCACAATCCCTAATGGTATTCGTGCATTTATGGGCATATAACAGCAAAAAGCAATTTGGAAACCCGCCCGGATCCCCGCTGATGGGCGAGCCCGTATTTGATCCCGCGTTGCTGGACAACTGCGCCGCGGGCGATATCGATAGCCCCGAGCCAAACCAAACCCTCGTACACACAGCGCGCGAATTGCCCCTGCATCGGTATAGCTGGTGGGATTCCACTGATGAGGGTTACCCGTCATTCCTAATACCGACGACAGAGAACTCCAAGCCGCCGCCTTCAGAACTCGACCACAAACGAGTGTCGCCCTCAGAACCAGCGCCTTGGCTTTCATGGGATTTTTCCAAAGCAGTTAAATACACACAGTTACACTTCACAGGTGCGGAGCTAAGAAAACTCCAAGCTGCGGCTCTGGAGACGCCAGGGTGTCGACGGGATATCTCTAGACTGGATGCTCTACTCGCACACCTGTGGGAATCCATTACGCGAGCACGTGGGTACGCCGATTCTTCAAAACCGGTATATATGAATCTGAGTCTCGGCGTGCGGCCGCGTGTTTCGCCCGCTCTCCCTGATACATTCGTCGGATCGCCGCTGTTCTTAACCTATGTCGGTGGACCCGCTTGCTCGGTATGCCAAGAATCATTGAGTGAGACAGCGAGTCGGATCCGAGAGACAATGAAGGGATTTACGGCCGATGCTGTGGGTGCGATGCTGCATGATGCTGCACATGAGGTGTCGCCACAGCGGCTGTGGCAGGCCTTCCTGGGTTCTGAGCATACGCTTGTTACATCGTGGTTGCGGCTGCAGTTGTACGATGTAGATTTTGTGGGCGGGACTAAGCCACGCTATGTGCATGCTATTATGCCTATGATGGATGGTTGTATTCAGGTGATGGATAGTGGGGTCCAGGATGGGGGCATGGATGTTGCGCTTTATCTTGATGAGGTCGCCACGGGGCGGTTGCTTGATGACCGTTCTTGAGTATGAGGGATGTAGTTATGATGTTCATTTTAGTGGACAACGATAGTCTCCAACCGCCAGTGAGCCATATCAAATTGTGCATGTAGTATACTGTGTAACATGAGGATTTCCTACATCTCAATACTCACACAGATTCTCTATATAAGTTCAAATCTAGTTATAGTTCTCGATAGTCAAATTATCAATGAGTTAATTTTCTATGCTCTAAGTAGCGATGCCGCACAATGCACTAAACGTAGCTATTCTATATTCACAGAGCGGGAACACCTAAATGCGAACAGTACATATTCAAACAACTTTATACAGAATAAGTCAAGATAGATACAAAGACTGGAAATACCTAAGCACTCATTGAAAGTGCCCGATGTCGTGATGTCCGTTTCCGACAATTGGCATCTCGACTCTTGCGTCCCATTCGGCCAAGAGACAAGCTTTCAAGAGTCTCGGGCTTACCGCCCCAGAGTTTAGTCTTGCCATTCCGCTTTTGTTGAATAGGTGGAATCCAGAAGTGCGTAACTACCGCGCCAAGAATCATACAGGCGCTGAAAACGAGGAGAACAATGCCGTGCTTGCGGGTTGATTTGTTGCCCGGCCCTGAGCCAAAGTGGTAGTATGCTGAGAAGATTTGTACAAGGATAGAGCCCAGTTTTCCCGCCCCGGCGCTGATGCCGTGACACGTTGCGCGGTATCGAGTTGGAAAGATCTCGGCGGGAATCATATAGGTTGTCGCATTGGGGCCTGTGGGTAGTTGATTAGAATGTTTCGATGCGTGGGGTCCTGAGTTCGACTCACCAAAGTTGAACATGATTTGTCCAACAATATACAATGCTACCACCGCAGTAGGGCCGGAATAAAGACTTACGAACATGGTTCCCAGCGCGATAAATAGAGCCGCCAGAGCAAGGAACATGTACTTTTGCAATGCAACACGATCCAGCTTATGGGCAAAGATAATGAGTAATATGCCGCCGACGAAACTTCCGATATTGAGCACAATCAGCCCGCGCACAGAGGTCTCCAAGAACATGTGGAAGACATTGGCATTTGGTGTATCGTCGGTCATCCAGGTCGGTGCTGCCTCAGATATATGAAGTGCGCCCCATGTCTTGGCTAAGAATTGAGGGCTTGACAATCCAATACCGTAGAAGCCAAAATCAAGGAGGAGCCATGCGAGAGAGCAACCAGCCAGGCTGCGCCAGTTTCCTTCTGTCCAGAAGTATCGTACGATATCGGTACGTGCCAACCGCCAGTGGGAGTTGAGGGTAGCGGGGGGTAAGCGGGTGTACTCATCATCGTCATCATTATCAATGATTGAACTGCTAGCAATAGATGAAATGGGTGGTAGTTGAATCGCCCCACCGGCACTGCATGTAGCGGTGTTTCCCCAGCTCACACAATCAATCATACCGGGTGTGTCACTGAACAGCGTGGTTGCATCAAACTCCGCAGTGATGGGATCGTCCACGATATCGACTAGATAGCGGGGGCTCTCTGGGATGGCGAAGCGGAAAAGAGTAGCGACTGCACCGGGCACGACTCCGATGGCAATCACCCAGCGCCACATTATATCAACAGTGCGGGTGATGTCTTCACCCGGACTGCTATTACCACGAGCCACTGCGATCACAACCAGTGCGACAATATTACCTGCAATCTGACCAAGTGGCTGCATGAAGAAGACGGTGGCCATCATACGGGCTCGATGCTTGGTCGGGGCAAATCTGACATCTCGAGATCAGTCTCTGTAGGATTGAAAATTTTAAGATCAACATACTCAGACGTGATCACTGCACTGAGTGGATAATCCGCACCCACTCCGATACCAACACAGATCCTCCACCAAATAAGCCATGCGTAGACGTTCATGCTGCCGTCCACGCCTGTCGAGGACATGACCACACCTAGGGTGGCTGTGATGAGGAGTACCAATTCAACACCGTACATCTTCTTCCGCCCATTTTTATCGGCCAGAAATCCAAATGCTACTTGGCCTAGCAGGGTTCCACCTAGTGTTGCGATATTGATGCATGTGAGTCGTAATGAGGAAGTGTCATCTCTCCAGTAGACATAGGAGATCATCGGTAGGGCCATGTTACTGGCGAATAACTAGATCAAGTATTAGTTGCCGTACCTGTATCGAGTACAAAGCAATATGTTGCACCTGGAACGTGGGTTAACGCACAGTGTAACCATCAAGGAAGAACCCAAGACCAGCAACCAGCACAACAATCCATTGAAAGCCCTGTCGGTCGATAGTCTCATAGATTTGTCGCATACGAACATATTGATCCTGTAGTAAAATTGTTAATAATCATGCAATGTTCATCGGGTACTCCATACCTGCTCGTGGTCAAAGTCCCGCGCACGGTCGGTTTTATACAACCGGGCATGGAATTTGGCCATGGTGAATCGAGAATTGAAAGATAAAAAACTGTTACATCTTGTAGATGAGAAGCGATAGCTAATAGTTAATAGTTTTAGAAGGTAAAAACCCAAGGTGACCATGCCCAGTGCGCCAAGAACTAGAGTCAAAGCTTTGAGGTTTATTGCTCCACGTGCGGCGTCTCTGGTGCTTGACTTGTCGACATGTCGGAACTTTGGATTGCTGCTCTCCCAAGCCCTTTTCAAATGAATATCAGCCCATTTCTTACAAATTTGAATTTCATGACCTTTGCTCAATCAAGTGATGCCCCGGGTATATATTGGTATATTCATATATCGGTATTATGTGATAATCAGCCCCCAATTTGCCCCAGAACTCCATGCATAATTCATATAAGTGAGAAATTAGAGATATTCGTTCACCCTCGTAAGCGATTCATCCAATAGTCAAGTCGTATGATAACATCTGACAAAATGCTACACAGTCTAGAGGAGTAAGCGTTGGTCCACAGAAATTCAAATGTGCACTGACCATCATCGTCAAGAAACTGGATCGTAAAATTTCTCATTTGAGACAGAATCTCAAAGTTTGGATTGAGATCAATTATGGCTGGCCTGCCAGCCTTCTTCGGAGGTTTGATTGCCGCAATACAATTTACTAGCCGGGCTATTAGCAACACTGTGACAAGGGAATATGGGCTCGTGTAGAAGTGGACTCACAGGGAATGGAGATGTATCGTTTGAGCTCCCTCCGTTGCGAGTTTGCAAAGAATAGCATCACACGTTTCCCATTGTGCCCGCGGAGAACGCGAAGATTTTGGCTGATGCACTCTTCACCCCGGCCTTTGGACTTGGCCTCCGCCATCCCGCCGATAAAAATCAACTTGGAACCGAGTAACAGTTCTTGGAATCGTACACAATCTGCGAGCGTTAGTAACTATTTACCCCAAGGTATATCGGTCGCGTACCATCCCAGTGATCAAATTTATAGGATAGCTGCGTCATAAATACCGTGTTTGCCGTTTGAACCGTTTGCTGGTCCATAAAGGATACGCGAAGAGGGTAATCGTCGCCTGATTTGGGATGTTCTAGATGAGGAACTGGCAGCTTTGTATTAGAGACTATACATGATTTGAGTGATCAGCATGTTATTTTTTTTTTTGGATTTATGTGAGACAACTCACAGGCGTGGACAAAAGGTGTTTGCTGTCCTAGTCCTCCCCCGAGTTCGAGACACCTCAATGCACCCGTTGAGTCTTTGCAGATATCAATGAATGTATATTTCAACTTGAATAGCTGACCGTTTTTGACAAAGGAGCTTCTGCCATGTCAGCACATTCTTGTCTGTATTGAATCTTTCTCAGAACCGACATTTGCACGGATGGAGTTAGCTCGAGCCGTACGACATCATCGTAGAGCTGCCAGGATTGCTTCCTCGAGCTGGACCCTGGAGATGTCGCAGGGCTCGGGAAGAGGATACTTGTTGATGCAGACGACACGGTGGAGGCAGATAAGGTGCTTTGGCGTCGATCTACCCACTCCTGGAAATCAGGAGAGAAAGAGTTCATTCTTTCGGTCTCTTATAGAGCTAAGGTGGGATAGGTGTGAGGGCAGATCGGGCGGATCCCGACATAAAAAGATCGACCAAGATAAAAATGGCATGCTTGATAGAATTGTAGGCCAAAAATGAGATATCCTGATAATAAGGAACAATAAGGAACAGACGCAGCATCATGTGGGTGGAACGTGCTCAAATGGCTGGCTATTAGATCACGGTTCCACTCCATCCACTCCATCCACGCCATCGTTCCCATGTGGGTTTCTATCAAATTAGACAGGGCTGTTTAATCTCGATACAGTAGATTTTCTGACTTGCATTGATATCACATTTTGGCTTCTACCAGGACCTCTGAGTTCTCCTTAGCCCGGCTCAAAATACGTGCCGGTAAGTTTACCATATCACGATCCCTTAGAGTGGGGGGACCATGCACCCTACTATTTCAAACGTTGAAACCTAATTTCATCCATTTTTCTTCTAGAATTTATCTAGAAATGGAAGTGCCCATCATCCCAGGGCTTTTAAAGTTCCGATGCCTGTAGCCCGGGTCGCGTAACTCGGCCCATGGCAAAGTCATGCCAACGCCGAGGTATTCCCATAGGAGGCTTGGCCACACTCAATACTGCAGAAATCAGCAGGATAGGTAAGATGTCTTTGCACATTATTACTCAGAACCAGGCTTTAAATCCCCCCTCCCCCCCCTCTTGTACCCTTTGGAGAGCCAAATCTGGACATTCCCATGCCGGCCGAATGACTTGCTGGGTCATTAACCGAGCGAAATATCCCAATGAAGATGTGGACTTTGTTTGGAGACTCGTTAGCCTCATTGTACAAATGAAAAGTCCTGGTCAAAGTTAAACTGCGACATTGCCTGTCTATAGGTATCTAGGAGAGGTGTCCACCACCCATCTACGGTATGCTGGAAGCAATTTGGATTCTCAAGTGCCTCCAGATCTATAACGCCTATCGCTGGTATACCTACTATACCTGACATAACATAAAGCTACCTATAATAGATGCATAAATTGCTAATTTGGTAAAATAAATGACTGTTGTTAATAGCTATTTTACAAACTCGTACATGCTATGCTCGAGTATGAAGCGGAAACATCGGGAAAATTTTGGAAACTGGGCCTCTGAAAGCCATGAGAAAACTATATGAGAATGGTGCAAAACTATGGGACCAAAAACTGGACAACCTTTTGTTCTGCGCCAGTCATGAAACCCAAGTCGTAATTATTGAGTCGAAATCGGGGGCGCGGTCTCTGATGGAGGACGAGAGATATTCTCGACCTAAAATTGGAATTCCATTCCAGATATTGATCCTATTTCATGTTATTGAATCCACCGAGAAGAGCGTGCAGCCTCCTTATCTCTGGGATCCGTCCCTGCCACCACATCACAATGGCACTAGTAATACCGCCCAAAGTCACGGCGGTGAGAGTGAAGTTGCGCAGGCATCGAAGGAAGCGCTTTTTGAGTAGCTTATTTGCGCGCTCGGTGTAACTACCCGGGGTATTGGTCCGGGGGAAGGGCTCGTCGGGAACAGGCTTGCCGAGAAACTAGCTCTGTCATCAGCCATAACTTGGAGAATATTCTGAATTGTTCAAGTCATACCTTGCAAAGCGGCTCCCAGCCATCTTCGACCGACCACTCAAGCAAATTATCCTTAGGCACCATGCCCCGAACCATGTTACAGTGGTCGCGGTACACCCACTTGGCGTTGCGCTCGATACCGTCTTTGGTGGTAGTGCTGTGAAATATGCCTGGATATCCATCTCTTAAGTAAAGACTGCACAGCCAATGAAGCTCCGGGGAGAACCACTGCATCGCCCATACCGTCCATGATTGATCAATCCCTTGGACGATGGTTTTGTTGATGCTGCGGTACCAGGCGTCCATATCGGGACGCAGATTGAGAACCACCTTGGCATCTGGGTAGGCGGCGAGCAGCTCGGGAGCAAATAAAATGCATAAGGAGTCAACGACAGCCTGGCTATCCCCGATGAGAATATCAAACTCCGCGCTGGTAATCTGCACGTCGCCATCCCGAGCACCGTTGTATTTCCGCCGCACTAGCTCAGTACAGTGTTGCAACTTGCTGCCATCTGGCTCGAAGACCAGGTCCCAGCCATGGTATGTTTGTAGACCCAGAGTTCGCAAGGCCACACTCAATGACTCGGTTCCGGTGCGTGGTAAGCCCAAGCAAAGCACCTCGACGGGCTTACTGCGTTCGTGCGGAACAGGTTCAGGGAACCCGTAGAGTAAACGTTGGAGGGCGTACATTGGGACTCGGAAAAAAGGCGAAGAAATTATGAGTTTACGAAAATAGATTTACACGACGTATAAGTAGTAGCTACAGAGTACAGTCAGCCGCATGGCCCTCAGTGCGGCTCAGTCGGGGGCCTTAATACGAATGCGGCTGTGGCCCGCAGTTCGGGGCCTGATCAAGCTCGTGTATTCCGTACTCCGGACAACTAAGAACGCTCGGCAATACCTCTTTCATTGGTCATTGCCTCACCGCCTCTTCCGCACGATCCAATGCCAGATCCCAGGTCAGTATGTTGTGGGAGCTCCGGGGAGTTCAATAGGGTGCGTAGGACCGTGCTCAGGGCTGTACTCCCTGTGTCCGCCTGAATCCTCCATACCCTACTATTGTACGCAAGTTTAATTAAACACTTCTCTTTTGCCATTTGTGCAGTAAATATCTACATATGAATCATATGCATTGATTAAATCTTGGGAATTAACGCCAGGATGTAACCTATTTCCGTAGATGGCCATGTTTGCCAATTGACATTCACCACACCGACTTTTTGATCTCAAAATTGAGCCTACCAAGTTCGAAGCAAACGAAAAGTAATATGAATGCACCTCAGCTTCATATCAACAGTATTGAAGAGATAAGTAAGCTCAGGGCGTAGGCAGCTGGTTGAGTTTTGCATATTTACGGACCTAAACTCGTCCGAGACACCATTAGATTATTTTAGAATTTTTTTTATACATGCCGCTATAGAAAGCTTTAAGATGGATCTCACTTCTCTCCAAGCTATACTCAAATTATGCCTTTGGCTTCATTATTCCGTGCTAGAGGTGTTTCCATGGTTGTCGTTGTTTACCGGAGCTCCTTGGGCATCTAACATACATCGCTTCAGTGACTATATAATTAAACATCTCTGCTTTGCTGTGCAGGTAAAGCATCTATTTATAATAGGCTATGATTTTAGAATAGTAGTTGTCAACTTTCGCTCGTCGTCAACCCAATGCCACATTCGCCAGGATTCTGACCAGATCAAGCCTTTATCTATACATTTAACAAGCATATGTTTCGATCCTTCAACCTATCTTTGCCAACTTTACATCGACTCGTACAGCTTTCGATCTTCTAACCGCTCTAGCTGTGTCCTTCTTAGCATTTGAGCTACACTCATCGAGTACCGCGATCTCTACACCATCCTACCCAAAACAAAATCCCGGATGAGGCTAATACAAAGACCAATTTAGGCACAACTACACTGACCGCAGCCAAAATGCCCATCTCCGGCCCGGGATATCCCGGAGCGCCGCTTGAGGGTGAGCCCGTTTTCTTGAACCCGACTCCAGTTATCGAGGCTCCAGCTCCAGCCCCGGCCGACCTTGGGTCCTTTGGCCCTAAATCTGTCAGTCCTGCTTCTTACGGAGGTTTTCTATACAGACCGCTGCCACTTTACTCCGTTATGTTTGATCCTTATTTGCCCGGCTTTCATCCGCCGGGCTTTCATCCGCCGGGCTTTCATCCGCCGGTCCCTCCATATGGCCCACCGATCATAGATTCCCCGCTTCCGGCCTCTGAATTCTTTGCTCCTGCGAGTCCTCTTATGGCATCCTCTTTTCCCGGCGAGCCTGGTGATATCCCGGAGAGCAAATCCCGTGAATGCCTTGTCGCGTATCGCAAATACATGAACTGGCTTCACACGGTGTACTACTCGTCGAATTCACCACACGCCTTTGTGCATGCGTGGAAACAAGCCCTTCAAGAGATGAGGGAGACCTTTGGGCACCCACATATTCCCACGATCTTCGTCCTCAATCAGTTCCTTGCTGCAGTTAGTGTGAATCCTAACACAGTTCCATGGATTGAGTCCCTGATGTTCGAGAAAGGTTCCCTTCCGGCATCAATACTGGAAGAAGCCTTTGAAGATTTCCTGGAGTTTGAGGCACATCGACTAGGAAACCAAATTTCAAGTCTAGGTAGCCTAGATACTGTCGTTGCCAATATGAATCAGGTTGAATGTTTTCCGAAGCAATATTGTCCTTTCCATCAGCGTCTGACCAGGCATCCCGTTGATGAATGTTTCCGAAACCCGCAGAACACGAAGCGTAAGAGAAAGTGGAGGCGGAAACAGGCCCGGATGGCAGCAGCTCTTGAGGCCGAGAAAGAGAGACTCAGCAGTCTTCAGCTAGACTGATTGCCATAGATCTAACGGTGCTTCAAAGAATCAGGTGAGAATCAATATCTAGTGTTTTTCAAGAGGAGACTAATGTTTTTCGTTCATTTTGAGTGGAATCGATGCTCATTATTTCATTTTCGCATTCGGTATTTGCATATTCTCACAGAGGATTTCTGTCCTCGCGCTGCAGATGTTTTGAAAAGCATCAGTGTGCACACCCCATGGATATCTGGTGGATCAGGCTGGAAATGGCTACATACAATATACAGCCAGGTCAGGCCAGTCTACTTCTTACCCCCTTCCCCTCTGTTTTTTCTGCCTTTTACACTGCACTTAACTTATGGGATTGTTTCCCTTGTTCCAATAGTGCCTCAATGGCACTATTGTCCCCTTCACCGCTACATAACCACATATGGAATTCACAATTGCCGGCTCCGCTAGTGGACCAGGAAGATGAGTGGGAGTTGCCTCAAATGGATGGAATTAGGAATAGCTCTCATCTTTATTCTAGAATATGGCAAGCTTTGTGAAAGATATAATTACCTAGGTACATTTTTACTCGTCAAATAGGTTGATTGATACATACTGTAGAAAACGATGGCTCGCACGTATTTTCTTTTTGCGGTTCTTCTCTCAAATTCACAATCTATGGTCGCTATAATTTATCTGCAAATTTCTGTTGAAAACTCTTCCTAGGATTGATCAGGAAAAATGCACTTCGTTGCAATACTACTAGATAGTATGACGATTTACAAAGGGTAGATGGTGGAGTTTACAGGAAGAAGAAACGACAAATGAAGGACTTGGTTACTTGAAAGGAATCGTGTGTACTTGGATTCTGTATAATCGCTTTTTTTGGATATGTTTGTCTACTTCAAACAGGGGCTGGAGATAATCAGGGAAACAAAAGAAAAGCTTGCGCAGGTTCATTGATATCGAAACAAAACATACGGCCGGGGCATATAAATGGAATGGAACGTATTAGAATACATACAGTGTTTGGCTACGATTCTCTTATGTCTATAAGCTCCAAGATACAACTGCAATCTTCTAGTGGTATAGCCCTAAGTAATCTCAACAGTTTTAAAATGTAAATATCAAATTATCAAAACACGATGACAAGCCATATTTGATACACCTGACCTAAGAATCATATTTATGATCTTCGATCATTGATTCGTTAGCTCATAGCAAGATTATATCACTCAACAATCAAAGAGTTACACTACATTTCACGTACAGACAACAAAAGACGACAAAAGACAACAAAAGCCAAGATATTGTTGTGCCTTTATGGCCCACATATAACCCATGGGAACGAAGCAAGGGTTGATGCATTTCGACCAAACCACTCCGGTCGGATTTATAATTCATCTAAGTATGGGAACGCGAGAGGCAGTAAGTGTAAAATAGAGGAGACATCATACTTGACGCTTCAATTGGACAATTGCCGCTGGTTGAAAAGTACAGCAGTTGACAAATTCCTACAGGCCATTTTAATCCCGTGTGCATGAAGGAAGACGTTCCAATTGCCAGCAGCAATTACTCCCTGTCTTGAATATTCTATCATTGGCTCTGGGCGTTTGCCCATCTCGTAGAATTTTCTTGATTCGGCTTTGAATTGCGGCTGAACCAACCGCGCCTCATTTCTCAGCGTTAGAGATCATTCTATTCTGGGATTGTGGAGAAAGTTAAGCTAGCCAATCTATTCTATGCAGGCCTATGTTGTGAACGTTGATCAGTCAAGCAGTATCGTGGGTTTATATGTGAGAGATCTCGCCCGTATGCACCTTTAGAGCCCTTGAACACCTACCAATAAGATAGGAGACAGGTTTGAAACCAAGTGTGACCTAGCCATTTCAAGTAAGGCAACAGCCCGCTTACTTGTTTTGATATGCAAGGTGAGTCTATAATAATCCGGGGATTTCCAATTTGCTTTCCTGATCGACCTTAGCGTCAGGCGGCTGTTCAGGGCTTACAGGTTTGACGATGAAATGCATCTGAGACTTCCAGAGACAAGACCAATCATCATGCTAGACGTTTTTAGTAACAAGGGTCATTACTAGGACTGTTCATCCACATTTCAATATAAATACTCCAGATCGCATAAATCTCTAATAGAACATCTATCTTATCACCATCATATCATCATACCAGCACGTTTCCTACTCTCCGAATTTTCTCAATCAATCAAAATGAAATCCTTCATTTCTATGCTTCTATTCATAGCCGTGGCCATTGCCCAGAGAGTTGTAATTGGACTCCCCACCGAGGATCAGAGAATCAATTCTGGCAAGGAGGTCGTGGTCCAAGTACAGCGTCCTGTGAGTTTCAGATTTAGGCTCTTCCAAATTTGTCACCGCAATCTGTTTTGCTGATACATATTTCAGAACTCTTTGAGTTCGTCTAAGGAGATGGGCGTGGTAATCGGTCTCTCCTCATGCAAATCCTCACCTTGCAGAGACGCAGACGAGGTTCTAGGAACAATTCTATACAATGGGCGTTTCAACCCCCAGCGTCACGAGTCCAGCTTGCCTCCGTATGAGAACTTCACAGTCACCGTGCCGGCCTCGGCTACTCTCGGCAAAAGCCAGATTAATGTCGCCCATGCTGCTCTAATTGGTGTAAGTAAACCCCTGACATTTGCTGGAATTCAAGTATACTGATTGTTGGGTTTCAGGCCGGTCCATCTGCATTCTTGGAATCTCTCAACCAGACTGTCTATGTTGTATAAATTGATGACAGATTGAGAATCTGAAGTCGGCTTTGCGCTTACTTCGTACATTCGCTGTTTTCCTTCTTTTGTACATTACTTTTTGTTGTGAGTCGTTCATTGTGAATTTGCGGGTGTGCCGTTACATGGATTTGTTGATAAAAGTTTGAATATTGTGTTTAGTCTAGCAGATATATTTAGTCCTATATATAGATACTTTTAGCAATACATATATGTTAAAGATATGAAGAGTGTTTCAGAGCCCACAGAGGTGTAAGGGTCGCAGGATGTATAGCAGCATCGGCCTCATCTATGAAAGAGGCTCTGATAAATTAATGATATAGTACCTAATTATGTACCGAGAACGAAGCACAGACCTGCTACATCGTCGGGCTGGACTGTGCAATGGAGGTTTTCTGTGGTTTCTTTGTTTGGATCATCCATTAGCTTTGCCATCGGTCTCTCAGTGAAGTATTCGCTCAGACATAGAATGATTGGTTTATTTCTTCCGAGTCTTATTGACATCTCAATCAGGCCATCTATAGACCTCGACTGCTCATCTCTTTGTCTCGACTTCGACATGAATAGGACTACAGTCTCAATAAGCATCATGTGCAATTAGAATTATCCTCTGGAAAGAATATCCTTCTCTTAGCTACGGTCCCACAGAAAATCACCACATCGTCACTCATTAATTCTGCCATGGACCAACATTTTTCTCGCGACTACCACCCAGTCCCTAAAGCGGATGCCGACGGCGACAGCGATGCCACCATCACAAATAGGCCTCCCCGCCGGGGCTTGCAGCAATTTTTGAAACGGAACCTCACCGTAATCACCATCACCGGCCTACTCATGGTCCTGTTGCTCCTGCTAATGGCTGTAATCACAGCCATCGCCGTGGAACCATTCCGCAAAGTTCTTGTCATTAATAGACCATCCTCTGACTCCCTTGCATACCCTGAGTCACTTGAAGGCAAACGACAATGCTTACCACCAGCTCCCCGAGTAAGATACTCGTGCGGGAACTCAACCAAAGAGGCCGAAGCCCTGGGCTGCGCCTACGACCCTCTTGCTGGCTGTTGGCTGCACAAAGAATGTCCACATGACTTCACGGACGAGTTTGCACATTTCAACAACGGCAAGCCGTTTGTCTATTTCTACGATGAGGCTGCCACAAAGCAGATGAAGGACTACACTGAACTCGGCAATAACCCGGACTTCTATTGGACTGCTGTTCGTGAGCATCTAGTCCATTGTCTGTATCTTCTTCGAAGGGGTCACGACGTCCATATGCGTGGCGCTCGTCTGGATAATATGCTGGGGGATCTGGAACATGTTGATCACTGTACAAACATGCTGGCTAATTGGCTGCGGAGACCGGATCCCGCGTTGGAAGAGATAGGCACGCAGGGACAGACTCATTGCTTTATGTCTTGCGCTTGATTCCTGGGTATATACTCCTGGCTCTTCAGGAAGAATAAGGAGCTATAGGAGGCAGTAACTTCGTGTCTTGGACGGATGCTGTTGAATATGTCCTTCCTTTTATTCAAATCCAGATTGACCGCGACTTTCCGATATTTCCCACCATTTTGTTATGATATTAATTAACACGTATGAAATTTTGAATAGTCGCTGAGGATAAGAACCGGTGAAAACCCTCCATAGAACCATGAAAGTCCAAGTGTGTAGGTTTCTAATCTCCGATTCACCGAGCTCCCATGTCCGTAACCCCGAAAACAGCTTCGACCCTCTTCCAAAAGTCAAGAAATTCAAATTCAAATCTCACTTTAGATACCAATGCCATAATGGCCCCCAAACGTGTCGCCATAGTCACCAGCAGCACCCGCAGCCCTCGCCTCAACCCCACGATAACGCAGTACGTCTATGACGTCCTGACCTCCGACCCGACGATTCCAACAAGCCACAGCGGCACAAACGACACAGACCCGCGCCACATAACTTTCGAGATCGTCGACTTGGCAAAGCAGTCACTACCTCTCTACGATGAATCCGTCATTCCTGCCAGCCTACCAGCGGCAGACCCCACCCCGCACTACAGCAAAGTACACACACGGGCATGGTCTGAGGTAGTGCGGCAGTACGATGCCTTTATCTTCGTCACACCGCAGTATAACTGGAGTATCCCTGCGAGTCTGAAGAATGCGCTTGACTATCTTTTCTTCGAGTGGAAGGGGAAGCCGGCGGGGATTGTTTCGTATGGAGGACGGGGTGGGGGTAAGGCGGCGGATCACCTGCGTGGTATTTTGACAGGTTTGCGGATGAGGGTTGTTGGGACGGCGCCTGCATTGCCGGTCAAGTTTACTGGGTTGCCTGTTGGGGCATTGTCGGAGGTGGAAGAGAAGGTGCAGTTGGATGAGAGGGATGTTGTCGGGTGGAGGGAGGCTGGGTTTGAAGGGATGATGCGGAATTTGGGGATGGAATTGGTTTGTGAATTGGATAAGGAGTGATTTACTTCATGTTACATAGAGAATATTCAGGATTCAGAAATAGTATGTATTAATATTCACGTTTTATGTGCTTTGATATGCTATATGCTATATGCTATATGCTATACGATGTAAAGAAGTTATATACTGATTGATGGAAGTATCAATTCTCTCAGTTAGTCCTGAGAATGTCCTCGCGCGTGATCCCACTGCGTTCACACATGGCACGGAATATGCCGTCTGCCTTATCCCATAACACAACTGGTGCATCCATTTCAGCAATCCGACCCTTGTCCATAACGCAGATGCGATCGTAGTGGATGATCGTGCGCAAGCGATGCGCAATGCACAGCAAAGTCTTCCCATCAAATCCTTGAGCCATAGTGTACTGGATCTTCTGATCTGTCTCGAAGTCAACGGAAGAAGTAGCTTCGTCGCAAACAATGATGCGTGCGTCGCGGACCAGTGCGCGGGCGAGGGCCATCAGTTGCCGCTGGCCTAGGGAAAAGTTGAGGCCTTCGTCATCGACGGGCGATTCGAGGGTGAGTTTGTTTGCCGGGCGCGCTTTCACGTCACTACCGGTGACTGGCGTTGTAGTTCCGGTGGCTGGCCCACTTTGCAGTTCCTCCCCTTCGAGTTCTTGCTCTTGGCCGATGAGGTACGCCTTGCGGAGCGCGGACCATAGTTCGAGATCATTGTGCTCGTTGAACGGATCAAGATTCGAACGAATCGTGCCCTTGAATAAGGCTGGGTCTTGCGGGATGATGGCAAGGCGGGATCGAAGATCGTGAAGGCCGACGGTGGAAATGTCGATGTCATCAATTTTGATGCTACCCCCTGATAGCTCGGTTAATCGGAACAGTGCGGACATGATGCTCGATTTTCCGGCACCGGTGCGGCCAACAATGCCAATACGCTCGCCTCCTCGTACGTCCATGGTGAGGCCCTGAAGGACGAGTGGAAGCCCAGCCCGATAGCGCATTTCCACGCTGCTGAACTCGATGTGACCCTTCTCGGGCCAGCTAGCTGGCACCACGGCCTGGTGCAAAGGCGCCTCTTCTTCCAATTGAGTACCGTAGTAGTGGACACGTTCTGTGGCGTTCATGTTGTTCTCAACCTCGGCCAGCTGACGAACTGTGAATTGGAGCATCTGTGCGATAGACAGGATATAAGATAGTACCAATCCCGAAATACTGGGAGAGACATTGAACCGAGAAGTGACGACCAGCACACCGACGACGAAAACCATTACAACCGCCACGGCATCGAGTCGGACACTGAGCCAACGCTGATTAGAGAAAGTGAGGAAATAGGCCCCGTTCATCACGTCGATCGAGTCTCGGATGGTGCGGCGGAATTGGTTCTCCACACCATATGCTCGAATGCATGCAGTGCCGGTAATGGCTTCTCCAAACCTGGCATACACCAGTGAGCGCAAAACAGCCTCATGACGCTTCATCTCGCGGGCGGATGCTCTGTAATAGTTCGAAGCTAGAATGAACAGTATGAACAGCGGGACAAGTGCGATCACAAACTAAAGGGGGTTAGAGCCCATTTCGAATATTCAAGAAACCTCAAGGAACGCAGCACTCACATAATAGAAGAACACGATGACCAAAACCATGATAGAGATAATCATGGTCATCGTTAGGGCATAGATACGCATTGCGTCTGAAAGTTCATTGTCCATCACCTGGATATCCTTCGAGAAGCGGTTGGTGATTCGTCCAAGAGGCGTAGTATCGAAGAAACTCATAGGTGCGCGGAGCACACGAGACATCGCACGCTGAAGCATAGTCCTGCTAGAATTCGTACCGCAGGTGGTCATATAAGTCGAGAAAGTGAACATCAGGACAACAACACCGCCACCCAGGCCAGCGTAAATTCCAATGTATTGACCAGTCGAGAGCCCCGGGTACTTATTAGAGGTCCAGTAAGATAGCCACAGACTAGTCCAGATGTTGGCGACATTCGTAATGGCGAGCAAGAAGAGTATCATGACGGCATTGAAATAGCTGCCAGATGCTCGGATATATGCCTTCCAGACATCCCAGCCAACGGACGCGGTAGCTTTTTCTTCTTGCTGCATCAGCGCTGCAGCAGGTTTTACCGGAGTGGCCTTCTTGAGACTTGGCGCCTTTTCGTCTATTTCATCCCCGACTTCGTCAACCGCCTCTTCCTCTACCTCTTGCATATCCTCCTGTCGAGAAGTAGACATCAACCTCTTGAACACCTCGTTGCCGCCCATCAAGTTGTCGAATGTATCAATCGCATTGATCCGTCCCTCGTCCATAACAATGATCCGATCACATCGGCTAAGAACATGAAGTTGATGCGTCGCCAAGATTCGGCAGCGATCTTTGAGCAAACCACAGATTGCCTTGTCCATGATGTGACGACCGACGTGTGCATCGACAGCTGACAAAGGATCATCCATGAGCACCATTTCCGCATTGAAGTATATGGCTCGAGCGATATTCAAACGCTGTTTCTGTCCACCAGACACCGTAATACCTCGCTCTCCAATCTCGGTTTGGTCTCCATTCGGCAGGATCTCAAGATCTGGAGTCAGAGCGCATGCGTCAAGCACTTGCTTATACCAAGCCTCATTATAATCCTTCCCAAATAGAATATTGTTACGCACGGTGGTGTTTTGAATCCAGGCATACTGGGGACAGAATGCACGCGAGGTGCTCAGACGTACAGTGCCATCAGTCACACGCATATCGCCCGCCAGAGCTGATAGTAAGGAACTCTTGCCACAACCGACCGTTCCAATTACGGCCAGCAGTTCATGTCGACCAACTTCAAAAGTCATGTCATTTAGTTTGAATGGCTCTGTGGGAGTCTCCCCATCGTTATCGTTCTTGGTCGCTGACTTTTCTGTTGACTCGGGGAGTGCAGCTGCCTTCTTCTCGGCTTTTTCAGCATCCTTATCGCTTGTCGGAAGGCGTTCCCACGTAAATGAAGCATGCTCCATCTCGATTGCATTTTCCATGTTCTCATCCCTCTCGATATCTTCCTTCTGTTCTTCGGCGAGCAAGAACTCCTGGATTCGACCAAAGGCAGTCCAAGCATCGGTCACTTGACCGATGACCATTGGCAGCATATTTAACGGCATTCGCAGGGAATTGAACAACGCCAACGAAGAGAAAATCGGTGCAGGGTCCAAGTCATGATTTGACAGCGCATAGGTAACGAAAGCCAGCATCGACGCAAAAACGGGAATAGACATCGCCACACAGAGAATGCCATTTCGGATTGCAAGCAAGGTCTGAATAGATCGAATTTCTCGTCCACGGATCTCTTTCAGGCGGCCGAGGAAACTGCTCTCCCAGCCGAAGTACTTGACGAAGCGCACAGCTTGCAGAATTTCTTGGGTGAGAGATACACGCTGGTCTGTAATCGTGTTGATGGCCTTTCGGCGGTTGATCAAGGATCGCACAGCAAAAGTCAAGAAAGGTATTCCGATCACCAGCAGCGCGTACCCAGATAAGCAACTGTAACCAATGTTGACCAAGAGAAGGACGAGTGTCACTATAATGGAGAGAGGTGCTGTCCAAATCATATGGAACATGCCGCAAGCTAGGTTAATCCGGTCCACGTCAATGCTCATAAGAGCAGTGATACGACCGTTGTTCCATCCACGGCCATCACCTGCAACGCCACCAGATGAAGGCGGCGCAGCTTCGGACTCCTGTGTTTTCCCTTTCTCTTCGGGCTTTAGGAGAGCCTCCTTGGTTGCCTCCAAGGCTTTGAGTTCTTCTGGGGTAGCCTGCCCTCCTGCCTTCGCACGGCCAGATAATTTCATGGCCTTGTTGAAGATGTGAGAGATAAGCACTGCCCGAATTTGCCCACCAACCACTTGGCCTCGATACAGGAACTGATTCGTGCATAAACTCTGCAGTGCTTGCATACAGGTGATACCAACGACGAAACCCATGCCCTTACCGATGTGAGGCGCCGGGTGACCAGCCTTTTGTGCGACATAAGCGTCTGTCGCGAAAGAAATCAAGTACCGAGTCAAATACGGCGCAAATACCAGCAACAGCGAACTTAGAAATTGACAGACACCGCCGAGCAGAAATTCGAATCTGAACGTGTCGTACAACGCCCAAACAAGCGGGCGGTTAGCGCCGCTCTCGGTGCGCTTTTCCAATGCGGCATCTAATCGACTGGATAATACGTCCACGGTCCGGTCGGGGTTGACAGTCCAGATATCCTGCAATTCGAGTGGACGAAGATAGCCAACTTTCATCAACGGGGCCATCCATTGGAAGGAAATCACACTAAAAAACGAAGCGCCATGTTCACGCGAAACAGATCGCTCTGTTGGGACAGGAGGTATTTTTTGCCATCGCAGCGGATTGAGTTTGCGATACCATTTTTTCTGCGCAGGCTGCTCCAGATTGGAAGTCTTGGCTTCGTCGGATGCTGATCTCGATATACTGGTCTCGAGCTTATCCGCCACTACTTCACGTAGCGGTTCGGGCGCAGACATGGCGCTGGGGTATAATATTGTACCCAGTACGCCCAGGAATTGGGATTTTTAAATAAAAAAGAAGAAAAGAAACTGAAGAGTAAGATAGTGGATATGGGGAGGTACTGAACGCGGAAGGCGGAGATATCGGATATTAGGACTCTAAGGGTTTTAAAAAAATAAAGAAGAAAGAAGAATGCAGGATTTAATCGAACTATATAAATGGAAGTAAGCAAAGAAAAATGTAGAAATGTCCGCGATATATCCACCTAACAAGGCTAAGCTTCTCGGACCTTGTAGGCCTGTCATTATCCATAAAAGTCAAATCTCGGAGATAAAAGAAAAGAACGTTCGCTTAGAGCGTAGAACTTCATCTCCCATCCCTGTATGGAGTAGTCTAGTCGGCAGTCGGCATCGCGGGGCCTCATGATTTCCGTTCGCCGACAATTGGATTAGTAATGTTGACGGTTTTCATTTATGGAATTACCCGGTGCTCCATATCCTTAGACTGGGTTCTATTATTTGCTATGACATACAAGCCTGGATCCCGAAAAAAAAAAAGGAGACAAAGTCAAGTCATTCTATCGTTACATCGTGGGATAACAAGTAGATCCAAGACAGTTGGGAATGTGCCAGGGACATTCCGATCGTCTCAAGCTTGTGTCCATGGGGTATCTCAAGCCAGCCCGAACCCAGATAATATCAGGTATGCATGGCTTACGGCAGATGGATTCCCCGCGCGGCTTCTGGGATTGTGGCTGCGATATGTGGACCTAAGAGGGTCACGTTCCTCATAGATTCATCTAGTTTTCAAGATTAATCTTGACCTTCTTCTCCGGGGGAGGGATGACCTGATCCTCGGATGTGCCCTTGAGGTTGGGGAGGTCTGTCACGGCCTCCTTAATAATATCAAGAGCCTTTTGGATCTCTTCCTCCGTGATGACCAGCGGAGGGGCAAGGCGAATGATGTTCTGGTGGGTGGGCTTGGCCTAGAGAGTATCAGAGTCAGCGATCTCCCAGAAGAAACTTAAGTAGGGACTCGGATACATACCAGCAAACCCTTCTCTTTCATCAACATACACAAATCCCAAGCGGTATGTCCATTCGTCTTCGACTCATCAATAACGATGGCATTGAGCAGACCCTTTCCACGAACTGTCTCAATGAGTGGGCTTTTGATAGCCAACAGCCCATCCCGGAACAAGTGACCGAGCTTCTCCGCACGTTCGACCATGTGCTCCTCGCGCACGACTTCGAGCGCGCGAATAGCAACGGCACATCCAAGTGGGTTTCCACCGTAGGTCGAACCATGGGTACCAGGTTCGACCGTGAGCATGACATCCTTGCTACCCAGCACGCAAGAAACCGGGTACATACCACCCGAAATAGCTTTGCCGAGCAAGACAAGATCGGGCTTGATTCCGCTCCACTCGTGGCACAGAAGCTTACCCGTGCGCGCGATACCGGTTTGGATTTCATCGCAGATCAGCAGGGCATTGTACTTGTCGCAGAGTGCCCGGGCCTCCTGCAGGTAGTCCGGGTCGGGAACAACAATGCCTGCCTCACCCTGGATAGGCTCGACGAGGAAAGCGGCCAGGTTAGGGCCGGCTGCCTCGAACGCCTCGCGCAGAGCTGCCTTATCATTGTAGGCGATGGGCTTGTCAGTTCCTGGGATTGTGCATCCGATACCGGGCAGATAAGGACCGTAGTTCTCGCGTGACTCGGGGTCGGAAGATAAGGAAATGGCGGCGAACTAATGCAAGGGGTCAGAATCAGCCACCGATGTACCTCCACGGGTGTAACAAAGAGGGGGTCACGATTCACTCACTGTACGTCCATGGAAGTTATTCTCTGCACTCAAGATAACGGCTTTATTTTCCGGAATGCCCTTGACTTTGTATCCCCATTTGCGGGCAATTTTGATACCTGTCTCGACGGCCTCGGCTCCAGTATTCATAGGCATCACCATGTCAAAGCCAAAGTATTCGGTAACGAACTTGGCAAAGCGAGGGAAAACGTCATTGTAAAATGCACGGGAGCTCAGAGTGACTCGTGAAGCTTGATCTACCAGGGCAGCAATTAACTTGGGATGGCAGTGACCTTGATTCACAGCGGAGTAGGCGGAGAGGAAGTCAAGGTAGTGACGACCTTCAGGGTCCCAGACCGAAGTACCCTGAGCCCGGGCAAACACAACAGGGAGAGGATGGTAATTATGAGCAGCATATTGCTCTTCAGACTCAATAGCCTCAACAGAAGAGGCAGCATGGTAGTGGGAGAAAGGTCCTGTAGACATGGTGGATTGCGGGGAGAGGGGAAAATTGGAGAGGTGACAGGGATCGACAATGGGGGTAAAGAAGAGAGAAGAGAAGAGAGATCGAAGAGAATTGAAGAGAATTGAAGAAATTCAAGAAAGGAATGGGCAAGAGAATGTTATATATAAAGGGACTTTTTTTTTTGTTCTCCCTTGTACGCTATGCCGTTAAGTGTTAGACTTGAGACCGAATGTCCGCTAAGTACAGGTCGTGCCGATGCTTTTCCCTATGCGCAGGATTACCCTACAGGGCCCCATTAGCTTTGATAACCACGATTTCTGATTCGTTCATTGCCTATACATGACCCGGGATCATATTCGGGCCCTGTAACTATTGGTCTAATCGGAATCCAAGAGGACGGGGTAGAAAATTCACGTCATACTTCGGTTATTGAAGGAGCTGGAGAACATACTTGAACTTTAAGAGCAAAACACAGACTACAAATGAATGCCAATTATTATTATAACAAAAAAAAGGAGAGAGAAAAGGTTGGATTGTGACGGAATGTGAGGTCGAATTGAATAGGTTGAGTAGGTCGTGTCTCGGAGTTGGGGGAGGAATATCTCCCGCTTTCTCCTTTGTCCATGTTCATACACTTGAGATCGGCTTTCTTGGAGGCTTGGAGCGAAATGTACGAGGGAGTGAATGAGTATCCGCAATATTCTAACCCGTAATCATGTCTAAACCAACTTCTCCGCGTCGCGCGCCTCAAGTTCCTCCGCCCACTCAAAACATACTCCTCTTTCTCATCGCCTTCCGTCTCCTCAATACATTTGCGGTCCGGACCTTTTTCCAGCCAGATGAATACTTTCAGTCACTCGAGCCAGCCTGGGAGATCGCGTTCGGCCAAGGCCAAGGCGCCTGGGTAACATGGGTGGGTGAATGCGATCGCGTCGACACTAAGCTTTGGCTGACCTCAATACCGCGCTCCTAGGAATGGCGGCACCAACTTCGATCCTCATTACATCCTCTGTTCTTTGCCGCTATCTATAAAGCCGCCGATTTTCTCGCTCTTATCCTCGGCGTGTCTCCCGCAGTGCGCGCAGACCTCCTGATTGCCGCTCCGAAAACAGCGCAGGCCGTCGTGGCGGCAATTGGTGATTTCTACACATGGAAGCTTGCACTTCGCGTCTATGGAAATGATTCCCGTGGATCGTGGACAACGGTATGTGGTTATGTGTCGGGTTGAGGGGATTTCTCTGGGACGGCAGGAAGGAGCCTATGTTAATGGTTCAACAGTTGGTCGCAACCGTCCTAAATCCCTGGCAATGGTTCTGCTCAACTAGGACACTGTCGAACTGCCTTGAGACAACATTAACCATTGTTGCATTGGAACTATGGCCGTGGCAATGGTCGGTAGGCTCTACAGCCGGCGATGGCCGTAACAAAAACACTGGCCAAATGAGGGGCACGGACCAGGATCGAAGTGTGATTATTGGGTATGACGGGACTTTCAATCTCATGACAACAGCCACTGACGCTGCTTGCAGTCTCCAAAAATGCCTGCCGCTGGCGGCACTCGCATGTATACTGCGTCCGACTAACATTATCATTTGGGCGACCCTAGCTGGCCTCGCTTGGCTTCGGACGTCTTGGCCCCAGCGCAAAGTCCTCATTTTTGAGGTTATAGTTCGCGGGTAACTAATCCGACCTTCTAATAAGGGACCAGCTGACATTTTGATCTGATAGATCGACTGTTCTCGCGGTGTCTTTAATCGCGGACCGTCTCTTCTATGGAATTTGGACCTTCCCACCCCTTAGGTTCCTATACTTCAACATCGCGCAGTCACTGGCTGTCTTCTACGGTAGCAATGACTGGCATTACTATATCTCACAAGGTTATCCCCTTCTCCTCACCACTATGTTGCCTGCTGCACTTTGGGGTTTATACAGAACCTTCACAACTCGGAATTCCACCGTAGGAAACAGTTTCCAGGCTGGAATCCGGGTGCAGTTAGCGATCATCTGCGTTGTGATGCCATTCGTCCTATCTTTGATATCGCATAAGGAAGTGCGTTTCATCTACCCATTGCTGCCATGTCTGCATATCTTAGCTGCGCCACCTTTGGTGCAGTTCTTTTACCCAGCCATCTACTCACGGGCATCCCCGCGCCATACTCCGCGCAGGTTGATCCTCATCTTTCTTGTGCTTGTCAACGTGGTCATTGCGCTATACACAACTCGCTATCATGCATCGGGAACATTGGATGTTCTCTCCTATCTCCGTCAGCAGCACCAAGCACACTCGGTGCCAACAACAAAAAGACAAAAAAACTCTAAGTCCGAAACCGGAATCTCTGCCGGCTTTTTGATGCCCTGTCACAGCACACCCTGGCGCTCTCATCTAGTCTACCCGACTATCAATGCTTGGGCTCTGTCCTGCGAGCCACCGATCGATCTCAATGCAACCCAGAAAGCCGTTTACCGAGACGAAGCAGACCAATTCTACGACGACCCATCCCAATTCCTACGCCAGAACATGGCTGGTGGTATCCGTCACCTCCCTCGCCGACCTACCTACATCTCTTCCGCGCACTCTTCTGTATCACAAAAGACCCCCAATAAGACCCCACAACATGAATGGCCCGACTACCTCATTTTCTTCGCTGAGCTCGAGCCAACCCTCTACACCCTGCTACGCGGCTCCCATTATGGTGAGTGCTGGCGCACCTTCAACACCCACTGGCACGACGACTGGCGCCGTCGCGGTGATATCGTTGTCTGGTGTCTGGACACAGTAGAGCAGGACGCCTGGCGCTCCGAGACCCAACGCCAAGTCCAGCAATGCCGAGATAAGCAATTCGAGCGGATTGTGGAATCGTTCAAGAACGAGGGGCGCAAGCAAAAAAGCAGGGGTGGATGTCTCTTCGGGTTTCTTTGCTTCCTTGGTCCGCGTCGCCTCCTTCGTTATTTGCGTCATGGCGAAATTCAGTGGTGTCTCTGTTCTCACGTCCAAAATCATCCATTTATTGGCCTTGGCGTCCGCCCACTCGCTGGGAGGCCTTTTTAGCGAAGTTGCCATTCTCGAAGCGGAAGCCAGGCTGGCTTCCTTCTTGGGTGTCAGATTGGCTTCCCGGGCTGCCAACTTGGTTAGGAGGAGCTAAAAGGCGACCTACAGAAGCAGAGTTGTGGTCTTGAGATCACAGATTCCCGGCTTTTTTGGTCTCCGGCCATCCTTGCTCATATATATGTGGTGCTGCGAGTGTTTTTCTTGCCTTCCACATTCCCTTGTTCTTTACATTGTGTGCTTCACTTCTTTGAACATATAGCCCTAGATTTACAGTACGATAATCTGTCTTGATTCACCAGTAATATATTTCAGTTTGGAACTCATGCGTAACAAGAACCCACATTTTTATACTAACCTTTTGACTCGCTAATCGGGTTTCACGGTATTTTTTTGATAAAGAAAAGAAAAGTGACCAGAGAATGTGATGAGAAAGCAAAGAAACACAAATGTAACGAATGGCAAATTGACAAAATACGCCGGACATGCACAACCATAACACGTCTAGTAAATCTTCTATATCGAGATCAGTATGAAAATCAAATCGAAAGCCAAAATAGAAATCAATGTCCATGTCAATATCCATATTCACATTGCTCGGCCATTATCTACTTATTAACCAAGGCTGGAGTCATACAAATCAACCATATCGAGCACTCAAACTAGCAAAGGCATCAGGGCTATGGCGACCATTCTGCAGCCCGCTCACATCAACGCTTGGCTGGCTCATGTGTGACCGTTGAAACGTAGAGTTTGTGGGCGGCGGGCCTGAAAATGGGGACTTGCCTCCAGCAAACGGGGAGCTGTTCGCTCCTGCAAATGGGGGACTGCTCATTCCCGAAAATGGGGAGTTGTTCGTCCCCGTGGCCGGAGTAGTAGTGGGCGCGGTTCCGCCTCCGGGTTGGCCGTTCATGCCCCCAGGTCCTAGCCCTGGGGATTGCTGCTGATATGGGTTAATGCCAGCTTGTGCAGCAAGGCCGGATCCACTGCCTGTGGGGGTGGTGCCGAAGAATGGGTTGTTGGATGTGGCGGGCTGGGCGTTGGTGGTAGGTTGCTGGAACTGGAGATTTTGCTGGGGCTGGCTCTGGTGCTGATGCTGGAGGTTTGTGGCTTGCTGGGTTTGAGGCATGGAGGTGTATGGGTTTGATGGTTGGGTGTAGGGGTTCACCGTGGGAGGTTGGGATTGGAACTGCTGAGGTTGCAGGGGTTGTTGAGGTTGCTCGGAGATGGATGTCATATTAGGCTGCGCAGAACCCATATTGTACAATGAAAGTATGCTATTCTTGTCCATTCCAGTGGGATGGGGCATGAGCTGCTGTGCCTGCTTGGGTTGGCTGGGGTAGCCACCTGCATTCTGTGCTGTGTGTGGCGCAAGCCCTTGCTGGAAGGGGTTATAGGATCCCAGACCATTGGATGGCTGTTGCTGTTGCTGTTGCTGTTGTAAAGAAGCATTTGGCCCAAATGACGAGGAGGAAGACATGATCGGTATGGTATTTGCATGATTAGGGAATCCTGGACCCACTGGGTTCGTTGCGAACGGGGTCATTTGCTGCTGTTGCGGCTGCATGGGTTGATTTTGCGGCGCAGTGTTGAAGAAAGGGTTCGTTTGCGGCGATTTGGGGTTGGGATATGTCTGACTGGCCAAGCCACTCTGCGGCTGCGGCTGGGCCTGATTGAATGGATTGTAAGTGTTGTCCATTGGCTGAGGTGAGGTAACATAGGGAGAATGCGAGAATGTCGATGTAATCGGAGGCGTATAGGATTGCTGATATACAGAGTGCTGCATGGAGCTTGTCTGATTCGGGTATCCACCAGTAGAGTGGGGAAACAAGGGCTGGGAAACCTGCAGGCCCTGGAAAGATGATTCTAAAGTCTGTTTAGATGTCGGGTTGGGATTTAGCTGATCGAATGGGTTGTACGAAGCGGTCTGTGCTTGCTGGTTCTGCTTTTGCGACTGGGGCACAGGATTTGAGACTGCCCGGTCAAAGGGGTTGTTTGAAACCTCCGGGAATGTGTTGTCGGTTGTGACGGGGAATGGGTTTTTGGTCTCAGGCTTTGAGATTACTATACGTGCAGATGCAGCAGTGCTGGTCCCGACCGGAGTCCTGGATCTTGACGCAGGGTTGCTCCCCTCGCCCAACCTGACCAGTGTTTCAACCGTTCGGTCGAGATCCTCGTGAAGTCCCTTGAGAACCATCTCGTTTCGTTGGTCATTGGTGAATCCCATCTCCTGCAATGCGGCCATTTTAGACTCGAAAGATGCCGTTGTCACATCGGCGAGAGGCGCGGGCCCTGTTGTCCTCCTGGATGGCAATGGTGGTGGTGACCAGGCTCTATCATCCAAAGTTGGCGAAGTCACCTTGGTCTTGCCACCAAATCGACGAAGGTTCGAGGCAGAAGATGACGATCGTAGACCAAACTTGAAAAACCTTCCAGACTTCGGCGGAAGTGGAGGAGGGGAACCCTCGGGAGATATATTATAGTCGTTCTTTCTTGTTTCCACCGGGGACAGAGCCCTAGGGTTGGAGTAGCTCGAATCCTCTCTGCTCGGGGGCTTTGGCTTCCCATTTTCCAACGAGCGGTGTTGATACTTTTGCCGGATAAACCGTTCCATGCATGCATCGGCCTCGTCAATGTCGGTGGGAATCGGCGGCTTGATACCCCGTGGGTTGTTCATTTTGTTCATAAGGATATTACCGTGCGATTTCATGTTCTAATAAAGTTCACTCTGTCAGCTTGTAATCTTTGCTATTGCGTGCCGGGTCATGCTTACATCAACCTGCTCTGATGTCCATGTGTCCATGGTTAAAGATTTGACCTTGGAAATATGTGTGCCCAGCTTTCGGTGGAGTGCGGCGCAACGCATGCAAAGGAAGATGCCCATCTGTCAGAGACGAACAGTCAGTTTGTGGATTCGCTCGAAGGTAAAGGAAGTGGTGACATACATTCCAGCTTGCCCATCCTATTCAAATAAGAATTAGTGAGGTCAACAATAAAGATCTCTCGAAACGAACCTGGGGTCAAGGCATCGCAATCGGCACATCGGTCATTGCCAGGAACGGTCCGGATCAGCTCCGCCAGGGTCTTTTCATTCCGCGCCTGCTGGCGCTTGCTGATGCCAGTGGGCATAATTCAAATAAAAAAAAGTAATTACAAGAATAAATAAATAAAAGGAGTGGCAGCAATAAAAGAAAGTGGAATAGGGGAAGAATTCTGGTTCCCGGGGCGGAGAAAAAGGATCGATTGACGTCCGAGGGGCAGATCATTCCAAATGAGACATACATGTACACTATTGAAGTATAGTACAAAAAAAGAGTCAGGTACGGAGTAGTCGGGAAGGACTCAAGTCAGAATTGAAAGTATCTACTTCCAGTGTTCCTGAGTTGAATTGAGTTACCAAGTCATTCTGCTACCACTAAAGTATATCCCGTGTTTCTTTCAGCATAGCTGTCTCTATCCAAAGTAGGTTCTTCTAGAACATTTCTAAATAGTCTAAGAAGGCTTTTATAGCCGAGCCTAGGCTCACAGGGTGTTCGTGCTTCGAAAGTCAACAGATTGTGTATATATTAATAATACTAGGGGGGAAATGGCATGTCCGGACAACAATGACTCGCATCTACCAATGCGCCTAGAGGCCGAAGCCTTTTTGGAGCCGTCGAGAAGTCATAATGTTACCCAATATCTTCTAGTACGCCAATATGACCAACCATCCTATGAACGAGGAATTGGCGGTTGATTATGCGTTCGAATAAGTGTAAAGAAGAAAAGGTCACAATCTGCGCGGAAATTTTCGATACAAAAAGACTAGGTCATGTGATGGCGCTAGTCAAATCACGTGCCAATCCAATCAAGATAAAAGCTTTTTCACTTCACACTTTTCTCTCTTCCTCAACCATTCATGTGTTGCTGGAGACTGGAGAATCCAATCCTGTAATGTCAGGGATTGTCGAAGACTTGGATCCAACAATCAGATATGTAAACTTCAAACCACATAACCCGCGTGGTGCCTACCTGTGGCACTACCGTCTCTTGGGTGATTTTTTAATCGTTCGTTCGTGGAATATCAAAACCAAACAGTTTTTAGCAGAGCTGCGTCTACTCCACCCTGGTGTTCATATCTATTGAACAGCAGGACTTTTTTACGACGGACATCCCAACTAATAATGCACATATTTTTGAAATCTATTTTACATTTTCCACTATATCATCCCAAGTTCCAGAGTATTTGAATGATCTTAACCCTGAAATTCTGCGTTGTTGTCACGTGATCATGGCTCAGATACCTACGCGAAGCAGGCACTTGTACAACATACATAGAGAGTATGAGTATTCTCCTCTTGACCCTTGGTTTCATATATCCTTCTTCCAGGGCATGCAAAATGCCATTCGACAATCTTGCAGTACAGTGCAGCAGTCGAATCTATCGACTCTTTCAGGTGTGAGTTCAAAATATGCTCCGAAACGCATCAGAGGAATTGGCGGGCGAGCTTCCCAGTATGTATTGCAATAGTCGACCTGCAACAGCTTCGCGGTTTAAAATAACGCTAATTTATGCTCCCGCGTCACTTTGTAATGGCCATCACGTCGTAGTCTCGATAGGTTATCACACTGGTCATAGGTAGATACTATCCAGAAACGACCTCTCACTTTCGATATAAACCGACTTATCCAGTCTTCTCATATCTCCCACGATATTCATAGCCGAAATGTTTCAAAAGCGCAGCAGACTATCTCGAGGAGCTTGCTCATCAACAGTTCTACGCTCTTGAACTACAACGTAATGGTGCAATCATACGTGTGGGTGACTGCCGAAAGAAGTATATATCCCGCGTTATCTTTTTCGCAAGCTCTAACATCTGATATTCAAGGAAAAATATTCTAGTCCTTTCTGAATCTACTGCGATAGTCTCCGGCTACATAAAGTCCTTGTTGATATATGAAATTTATTGTTATTGTGGTTGTTGATTAGGAGCTTGCCCATACTGCCCCTGCTGAACTACATTCGCTGCTCCTTAGTGGCTTTTGTCGAAAATTTGAGAGAATTGGGAGACTGGCCTCGATAAATTTATGATATGCTTCAAGGCGAGCTTTCGCATATTCCTCGATGTTTTCAAGGATTGTGAGGCCATGAAAATCCAGGACGTTTCTCTGTCACAATTCCAAAGACTATCGATAGCCATGGAAAAGTCGCTAGAACCTGGACTATTTTAGTTCCGTCTCGCTTTACGACACAATGTTATGTTTGATGAAACTCATTGGAAGGTCATTGCTGCAAAGTCCCTCGGTCCATTTACAACGATCGAGAATCGATTTGGTGTGCTCATCAGAGAAGAGCAGGTGAAAATCGAGACCATTCTCGAGACTGAAATGCAAGAGGTAAGGGAGGGCAGTTTGGTTTCCCATTACGGTATTGACGCAGTAGTTTGATCTATAAATATATGGTGCTGTAATGCGTCTGGAGGACTCATTGAAAGCACTGGTTGCGAAGGGTAAGGAAATATGAGAACATAGTCAATATGAAAGCTTGAGCTTCTACCCCGTACAAAGAAATAGTATAATCTTTAGGGTAATTCCAAGATTAGAGAAGAGAGGCGTATTTGTTCTTGTTTTACATCCCGTACAAGATGTATGCTTATTTTTACTACATTATAAACAACTCCTGCTCCCGCGGGTGCAATAACTAATGTACAGATAGGCATCCATCTGAGATATCCCCTGTCATACGTACTATCCATGGATATAGGTTGTAATCAGATGACTAGAACCATGGATAAGATCAAGATCAAACCTTTATAGATATTTAGATATTGATCCACGTAGCTTATTGCCAGTAGTATCTAGACCTTCTTTATTACCGAGCAAGCCTGGAGCCCGCTTGATCGGGTAAGCATGTCGGAAGGGAGAGTGGGTCAACATTGACCAAACAGCGCTTGGTTGTTAATAATACTTTTCCGAGATGCCATTTTACCCTGTGACTCTGTACGATCAATGTAGCACTCGATTTACCATGGAGTACTTTTCAATTAATACAATCTCTTATCATTTCCCTCAAGACAGAAGGGAAGTTGACAGTGAAAGTCTGGAGATTTACGGAGTACTGTGATGGTACCGGAATGCGGAGATGAGACGAAAACACCGAGGCAATGGCATATGTGGCCCCCTTGATTGGCTATGATTCCATCAGCTTCTGTACGATGTACCGAAGTATTGGCTCAGGCTTGTACTGCATATTAGAGGAATTGGGACAGGAGAAGTACAAATCCCCCCCGGTTCTTCCCTTCTCTCTTTGTACTCCCACCTTTACTTTCCTTTCCTTGACCCATTAAGACTCCTTGTCGCACACACTCTCTATCCTATCACAATGGCTTCGGCTGCCAGATCTGCTTCCCGGGCCTTCCTGCGCTCGACCCCGACCTCCTCTTTCCGTCCTGCTGCGCGCAGCACCCGTTTCGCCATCCCCACCAATGCTCTCCGCGCCTCTGGTCGTCGCGGATATGCTTCAGAAGCTGGCTCTGAGAAGTCTGGCTCATCCTTTGGCCTCTGGGCTCTTGGACTCGGTGCCCTCGGTGCCGCAGGTGGAGCGTACCTGTACCTGAACGGCGACTCTTCCCCCAAGGGGCCCTTCGTCCCCACCCAGGCCGATTACCAGAAGGTGTACGATGCTGTCGCTCGCCGTCTGGCCGACGAGACCGATTATGATGACGGCAGCTATGGTCCTGTAAGCGCAGTCACTTCCCAAGCTCTGCTTGATGTTAGAATCCAAGGTCAAAGCGCTAACGTAGACGTTCTTGTTGCTCTTGATAGGTCCTCGTTCGTCTCGCATGGCACGCAAGTGGTACCTATGACAAGGAGACCGGCACTGGAGGCAGCAACGGTGCCACTATGAGATTCGCCCCGGAGTCTGATCACGGCGCTAATGCCGGTCTCAAGACTGCCCGCGACTTCCTCGAGCCCATCAAGGCTCAGTTCCCCTGGATCACTTACTCCGATCTGTGGACTCTCGCCGGTGCCTGTGCCATCCAGGAGCTGGGTGGTCCTTCCATCCCGTGGAGACCCGGCCGTGAGGACAGGGATGTCGCCGCCTGCACTCCTGACGGCCGTCTTCCTGACGCCACCAAGGATCAGCGTCACATCCGTGATGTCTTCTCCCGCATGGGCTTTGATGACCGCGAGATGGTTGCACTGATTGGCGCCCATGCGCTGGGCCGCTGCCACACCGATCGTTCCGGCTTCGACGGCCCCTGGAACTTCAGCCCTACTGTGTTCACCAATGAGTTCTTCCGTCTCCTTGCTGATGAGAAGTGGGTCCAGAAGAAGTGGAACGGCCCGACTCAGTTCACTGACAAGACCACTGGCACTCTGATGATGTTGCCCACTGATATGGCTCTTGTCAAGGATAAGGGCTTCAAGAAGCACGTTGAGCGCTATGCCAAGGACAGCGATGCCTTCTTCAAGGAGTTCTCTGATGTCTTTGTCAAGCTTCTTGAGCTTGGTGTGCCCTTCAAGACTGATGATCGCATCGTTTTCAAGACTTCCGATTCTGAGTAAGGGGATTGCTCAAAAAAGTGCCTCATACTCCCATCTCCTTTCATTTACCTGTCTTGATATCCGAGTCATTACTCACTATGATTCTTTTTCTTGTTGCCAATGAAATTTTAGATTTCCCTCCATATTTGCATTCCAGCTGTGCTCACGACATGTAGGTTCTCGCCTTGGGTAGGAGGTAGCATAGCATGGTTCACATCGGGCCGGCGGGCGAAGTTTGGCAGAGCTGTACCGCGTCTAGGAAATAACCATCCAGGTCATAGATCTTGTAAAAGAAATAGATACAAAAATGAATCCGTCTCGAGGAAATCGTAGGGAGAAAAAGATCCAACGCTTCAGACCAACATGGGCCCGGAAGGCCCTCTCCCAAAGTGGCGTGCAAGGGCGACCCGCCATTTTTGAATCTCAAGAAACCTCTCGTTTACAAGGAACGAAGCTCAACAACCCCGCTTTGCAGCATCCCTGCTACCCCAGATTATCGTCCTGCCCTGGAATGCCCACGGTTGGACCTCTCCGCTAGACTTCGAGGCGTCACTCTTACCTGGCGCGCACCTCCGACTGGTCGCTCGACTCGGCGGCGCGACACGGAAACAGCGCAACCACTTAGATACGACGAACAGACCCTGGCCAGAAAGCCAAATATATCATTCCAATATGACGAGAACGGTTCACGCTGTGGATTTCTACGAAATCCTATCTCTGCCGTTCACGGGGTCTTCGTCGACAGTCCTCTCCAAGCAGCAGATCAAGATCGCATACCACAAAGCATTGCTCAAACACCACCCTGACAAGGCGGGTGCTGTGGCAAGGGAGACAGGGCTCGATCGCTCGACTAAGTCTGCATCAACATCTACTCCGAACCTCTTTGCCAGATCCGATGGCAACTCGTCACAACTTTATACCATCGACCAGATCACCACTGCCTACAAGACACTGTCGGACCCCGTCCTCAGCGCCGAATACAATCGCTCTCTACGTCTGGACAGGTTGAAGGTTGCGGAACGGGAGAAGACCGGCGACGTATTCCATACTGGCTTGGAGGTTGTGGATTTGGAGGACCTTGCCTGCGAGGAAGCAGAAGGCGGCGACGGCGATTGCTGGTATCGCGGATGTCGGTGCGGTGATGAGCGCGGGTTTTTGGTCAACGAGGAAGATCTGGAGAGGGAAGCTGAGCATGGCGAGATCATAATCGGGTGTCGCGGGTGCAGTCTCTGGTTGAAAATTCTGTTTGCCGTTGAGGCAGATGAAGGATGAAGAGATGGCTTGCAGGTCATCATTTTCTGGTAGTCATCTCTGCTCCAGGATTCTGTTGAGTCTCATGTCCGACTGTGCACCTCATGCCTTGTCGCTGTGCGACAAAAGGCATTCCGTTGTCTTGTGTCTATGTTAGTCTATGCCTCGTCCGGGGACAGGGCTCGCTCGTCCAGATAGGATACAGCCTGGGACGTTCATTCTTCTCTCGTGGGCTTCCTTTTCCTGGGCTTCGTTTGTCTTTTGCATATTGGGTCACCGCCAGCCTCTTCTGGCTTGTGCATACCAGCCTCGTTGGGTCTGGTGTATAACAAGAGCGGACAGCCAGGACTCCGTAGTATATCTGCTTTTGGACTCATATCATTCTGATTGAGATCAAACTCAAGCGCCACCGAAGCCTGACTCCGGCCTCTTATCTTCAAGCTAGGCCCGACTCAATCTCATGCATATAATGATGAGACTGAATGCTGCACCATATAGCTACTTCTCAATATCAAACTCTGCAGCTTGATGGAATTATACTTTCTGTGTACTCCGTATGTATTTATGTCTTGGCACATGCTAAAGAATCAACAGAGACAAAGCTCCCCATAAATCAGATTCGATCATATGGCGAGCATTGTGACAATATATATCTCGAACATTTTTGTGAGGACTACATCTGATCCCTTGGTATTTGAGTTGACATAAGAATAATCCTGCAATTCCAAAATTGACCCAAAATTCGCCAGCTAAAGTAAAAAGCGCTGAGGCAATACACATTTTCTGGCGTGGTTCATCATGTTGATTGTGTAGAGGGGCTGATGACATATGCGGAGGCAGCAAAGCACAACCTCACGTCTTTCCATCCTCTTCCACCGTCCATTTCACATTCATTCCCCTCCCAACTTCACTATGTCTGTCGTTGAGATCTCATCAAAGGAGCAATTCTCATCGCTCCTTACTTCCTCCCGTCTTGTTGTTGCCGATTGTAAGTATTTGCCGCACGATCCTAGCTTTTCCTCTGAACCACTAGAGCAGTCGCTGACCTTGACCTGATATTTGAATAGTCTACGCTGACTGGTGTGGACCATGCAAGGCCATTGCACCCGCGTATAACTCGCTGGCGACCCAGCTCTCCCGCCCAAATCAAATCACATTCACCAAAATCAATGTCGACCACCAACAAGAGCTTGCGAAAGCCTACGGTGTCACAGCGTATGTGCAATTTATCCAAGCATCTATAACCCAGCCCAACCCGCGCGGCAAATTATACAGTATTCGTTTCGATTACTGACAAATACACGATCCTAGAATGCCAACCTTTATCGTTTTTAAGAGCGGCCGCGTGAACCAAACAGTCAAGGGCGCCAACCCCGCCCAGCTGAATCAGATTGTCCAGAAGCTTGCATCCGAGGCAAGCCAGTCGGACGACGCAGCAGGAGCCGGCGAAGGAAGCAGCTCCGGCGAGCTCTGGCTTGGCGGCGCGGTGGCCAAGGGCTACAACGATATCACAGATCAGGTTGACGTGAAGGGATTGGAATTGTTGAACCGGGATACAGATACGGCAGAGCCGCGTGCTCTGTTCAACACCTCGAAGCCGTCCGGACTGGCAGCAAAGGGTAAGGGCAAGGCTGCTGGCCAGGCAGACTGGACTGAAAGCGATACCGACGAGCAGCTGATGCTGTACATCCCATTTAACTCGACACTGAAGGTCCACTCGCTTCAAATTACCTCCCTTCCTCCTGCCGATGGCGACGATGACGAGACCCCCATGCGGCCTAGGAACTTGCACATCTACAAGAATACTTCGCATGTGCTTGGATTCGATGAGGCGGATGGTATTACCCCTGTGCAGAAGGTGGAGATCCAGCCTGGTGACTGGGATGCAAAGACTGGCACTGCTACGGTCGCCCTGCGGTTTGTCAATTTCCAGAATGTGACATCGCTGGTTATGTTCTTCGTCGATGGGGACGGGGATAGCGAGAAACTGCGCGTTGACCGCATTCGTATTATTGGCGAGGCAGGTGCAAACCGATCTATGGGAAAGCTGGAGAAGATTGGTGATGAGCCTGGCGAGTAAACATAGAATTTGGAGAAAACAAGCCTATACGCCATGGAGTTTAAGAACTGTGAGCGCTTCTTCTGTCTTATGGGATTGAGTTTTTAGTGACAGAGAGCTCGGTTGGGTCGATAGTGTCAATTTTATGCCAGGGAGAGTACAGTATACCGCCTAATGAAAGAATAACCAGCTGGCTGTAAAGATTGTGTTAAATTTCATCAATTGATTCGATTGGTTCTATGGCTATGGAAAATCTCAAAAAGAGTAAAACAATTTAAAAAAAGTATGTTTGACTCCCACCAGAAGGTCTTATCCTTGCGAAATCAGAAAGACCCATAAAGGTAAGAATCAATGTGCAATTCCTTTCGTCTGTGGCGCAACTGACACCTGGGTTACATCACTGAAAGCCAGACTAATGGCCGTAGATGTCCAGGCAACACGGGTTATCGAGTCGCGCCGCCGCACGAAGAAGAAAAGAAAGAAGAGGAATGGCGCCGGTTGAGATTTCCTTTTATGCTGACTCCCGGAAATTCAATTTTTCCGTTGACCTTTTACGGAAGGTTCCAAGGTTTTCGGCACACACAGAAACTTTACGTAAGCCATATGCGAGGAACCTTCTTCTTTTCATTTTGGTTTTCCTCTTTCTTTTTCTTCCATAAACATGGTCGGTGATGAGAATTATGGAATATATGATAGGAAGAGACTGACTCCTTATGGGAGCGTGATCTCAATTTAACCATTCCTGAGGCCCTTTGCTGTTTATCTCTCTCTGGTTCCTTTGAGAGCTCGACCTACAACTAGGACGAGCTTCAATATCAACTGGTTGCTTCCCAACGCTCATGTTGGCATTGCGTTCTAGTCTCCAAATTTTGTAATTAGAGTTAGTAATGCATTCAAGAGCACATTCAGCTCAAATTCATATGCGAAGTATCATTTTCAGCTCCTTGGACCGTATTAGATAGACGAAATATCCCAGCACAAACCCAAGCCCTGAGGATAGGACATTTGGCGACAAAATGTCGGCCGAAAGCTTGCTTTAATATATGAAAACAACATCCACCCGAAAAGCAATCAGACAATGTGGTGCAAATTTCAATCCACCACAGAGCCCCCATATTAGGATCGAAGGCTGGTACGCGGAGCCGTTACAATATCAAATTCGGCCCGGAAGCCACACTGAACCGGCCGGCGACCGGATGCATCCGACAACTTCGCCTTCCCACAACGCACATACCATAACTAGCGAGGTAGAAACGAGGGATATAGCAATCAGCCGTGTTCCGTATGGACACGGTGATTCTATTCGCGGGCCGCAGATGGAGTTGGAGCCCTTGGCACTCTATGTGTTTACGCGAGGCAAATTGTTTCGTCTCGTTGGCCATTTGCAGTAGGAGTAAACGGGAACTTAGCCGAGATCGTATCTCTTGTTTTTTTTTCTCTCCACTCCATACCCATATCCACTGTAGGTTCGGTATTTTCAAGTGGCGGAGGATGGCTTTCTGCAGGACCATGGACTGGCTGGCCTAAGCACATCAGATGAGGACTTGGCGTAGATGCACTTAATCTGTGTTAATCTGTGTTTTTGTGGTTGTGGTTGTTTCATGAATCAATATTCAATGGAGTTTCTGGAGAGATTGTACGATGTATGGCATGATCACTGTCTCAAGATTCGGGTCTGCCGGACCCCACGGTGGTTTTTTCAACCCAAGGTTGCTGGTGAGGTTCCCTTGTTTTGTGTGGGTAGAAGATGGATACATTATGGTGGGCGCCTATATGTGGATTTGGCATGGAGGAGTTTGTACTAACTGGATTAAGGACCAGAGTCAGTTGCGTTGTTTGTTGTAGCGAGTCTTGCAAGGTACCTAACCGGTACCACGTTTTTGGATCACTGTTCCGTATAAGGTATCAAGACCCGCTCTAGCCCACCCCGAGATGAGCACCGTCCAGTGTTTCGCTGCGAACAAAACAGCAGTTTGGACTGTGAATCCACTACCGGAGACGTGCATTCTGCCGTGGCTTCGATTGGACAGGCTTCAGCTGGCCAGGCGCAACAGAGAAGACAAAGAAAGACACGGTACCGGCCTGTCAGTGAACCGCTGTCTCGTGAAAAGGTTGTTCACATCTCGAGTGCTTTCGTCAAACATGTCCAGAATTTGAGGTTTGCTGGTCAAGTTTCATTGCAGCTCAGGCTGGGGGTTCAGCTCGAGGATCCAGAATCAGCCCCGAAGCCGTGGCTGATGCCGCTTTGGACTCTATACACACGCTGGACTGTAAGCGACAGTCAACGTATGCGGAGAACGGTGGACTTTTCTCCTAAGCCCAGAGTCATAGCCATCGGCTGGAGTGAAGAAAACATCAGTGAAATCTGTTACGTACCAGATACTGTGCGGGAAGAATGATGTGCTTTTGCCGGGGCCCGAGTTTAACGTTGGAAAGAGCCACTTCCTTGGTTTGAGCCGTGGGCTAAATACATACAATGGGAAATGGAGCCCTTCGTCGATCACTGATAACCCAGGGACGAATGTAGATACGCACGTAGTCGCCAAAGCGGAGCGAGCTGGATACGCCCAGCAATAGTGGCTACGAAGTGCATTCTGCATACTCCGTACATACTCCGCATGATTTGCACGCTACGCAGATATGTATAGTATTGCAGTGGTGACCAACAGGATTGGTGTATTCGGGGGCTCGTGACTTGGGTGGAGACAGATGTTCATAAACTACGGGATATAGCGCGGTGGGAGAAAGTTTTGCACATCAATATTCGGAAAGTATATCCTTTCGCAATCATGAAGCACATATGACATGATCGAACCTCGGGAATATGTACCCCAGAGATACATAAGGAAATTACCTATGGCAGATTAGATCCGATAGCGCTCGGGGAAAACACATCGGACCTCGGGAGTCTTTGCACGCTCCCCATTCGTACCAGAGATCCAGGTCCGAAAAGATACGATGA